TCAGTATTCACATCCAAATGCGAAAGCTCTGCCCCCATGCCGTTGGTAACGTCACAATTAATGGTAATTCCTTAAACAAATACGATTAAATTTTTTGTAAATTTATGAAACTGGAAACAGATGGATCAATAAACTCATTTAAAACAGCAGGAGCAACAAATTTGACTGCATTACGAAACAAAACCGAAATCCATGCTCTTGGCGAGGCCAACAAGTCAATTTGTCAATTGGAAAATAAACTAACAAAAAAGTTTCTGTTGCCACCCGCTGAGAATTGTAGACCGCAGACGAAAAAAAATGTGAGGTGCAAAAAGTATTGAGTGCTGGACGAAAAAATATAAATACAAACGGCGGGCATGTAGCATCGACAAAAAAAAAAAAAGTGCAAACAGAACGTGCCAAAAGCCACACAAAAACCAACCAGGCGGTAGTGGGGGAAGGAAGCGAGGCAGGCAGTCAGGCAGTCAGGCATTCAGGAGTTCGAGTGGCGCTTCCGCTGAAAACAAAATCAAAGTTAAGCACTCAATTTTCAATTAAGCTCACAAAATAAAAACACACACACACACAGACATACATATAGGCAGCTTTTCTGACGTGCCCAGAGCTATGCCGAAGCAAAAGGAAAAAGGACGCTGTCGGTGTAAATGAAACCCCATAAGGACCTTCAACCAACTGGCAACGGCATCGGCACCGACACCGGCACCCCAAATTGCTTACATCAATACCATTTTTGGGGGCGTTAGACTCACGCACACACCCACACATTCATACACACACACACACACATACAAATACACCAAGTCATTGAAACGCTGCCGGCACTTTTTATTAAATTCACTTTGCCTGTCACCTGCTAGCGACTGTCTGAGAAGCACATGAGTGGGCCTTCATTGCCCCCCACCTGGCGACAATTTTTGCTATTTTCCTCTGAAGTGCGATAGCTTCTTGATTTCGTTCGTTACGCGTCTCGATGATGTTTTCCTTTCTGAAGCGAGGGGAGTCCTCACTCGCCTATACGTGTACCCTGTCTGTTGGCGTTTGAGGAGGGCTGGTTAAGTAGCCGTCGATACGATGAGGCGTCGAGCCGTCAAAGTAATTTGTTTGCTTTTCTAATTACGCGGCATGGCAGAAAGGCTGGAAGGCAAAAATGGGCGGGAGGTAGACTGCCACTTCTTCATGCGATTAGGCTCAGAAGTCAAATGCTTAATGCCTAATCTGTGTTTCATGTTTGTCAGTTATCGTTAACCTACTGCAAAACGCAAATTGTTGCACGCCCCGCAAAATAGCAGGACAACGGTAACGGCAGTGGGGCTAGAAGCTGCCAACAACACACACCCACAAACAATGACAATCAACAACATCATCAATGGCATCTATGCAGCGACGTCTCAGCGGCGAACCCACCATGAATAGTTGAGCCCAGACAACCACTCAAGCAAACGCGCAATCTAACGACGGCACAGTGGCCTTAAAGTTCCAAGACTATTCTTTGAAACACATTCCACTTATAAAGCCCAGCTCAGAATTACAACAATTTTGAGATCTTACAGCTAAATCTTAAGTTTAGAAAATCATGTCAATTCGAAAGTGGAAGAAGCTTAAGTTTTGCAAGGCTTTACTTTACTCAAAAAGCAAGAACATTTTGGTTTTTTAATTAAATTTCCGACATATGTTTATAAAACTAAGCTAAAGCGAAATAATGTCCAAACATTTTTATGAGTGAGCTTTTGAGAAATTGGTAGCTAAAAATCATTTTATTTCAATTAACAGAATAGCGACAATACACATGCACTGGGATAATAGCAATTACGGATAACTGGTAAATATAATTATTTAACTTAAATGGAAATTACATTTCTCATCAGGGGATTCAAAATCACTTGAACTTGTAAATCGAACGACAAGAAAACAAGTCTGTTTCATTTGAAACAAGTGGCATTTGATCAAAGTTGACTGCAATATGTAAAAGTAATTGGCATTTAAGTAAAAAGTTCTTAATTAACTAGATTTTAAATACCACAGTTTGGTTTAATTTATTTAACATTTAATTTCGGAAACTAAAAAACAAAATCATGCATTTGCATGTATAGTATATCAGATATGAAAAAACTCTATTTATTAGTGTTTATTTGTACATTTTCCCCAAAGAACATTTTGGGGACCAGTGTGCGTCGAGCATTTGTCTACACGCTTATCAGAATGGGTGGCAACCCTGTAGGCGTTTGAATAAAATATTTGCTTTTGTTTGACGGTGGCTTGGCGGCGTGCTCAGCAGACAGTCCCACTTTTTGTACAAGTTGTGGCAAGGGGGCGTATACGCAACGTTTTTCTTGTTTACAGGGGTTCGCCATACCAGTTAAGGCTGTTTCTATTAGTATATATATGTAGTATTTATGTGTGTGTCTAAGTGCGTGTGTGCTCATGTGTAAGGCGTGCCACAAGAAGTTAGATGTTGTCGCAACATTTTTACAAAAATCTGAGAAATTTAATTTATTTGACTTACTTTTTCTCTTTGCTTTAAATTTCTGCTGCGGCTTCGCCGCTTACCCGCAGACAAGATTTTGTTTTGCTAGCGAGGTGTTACAAGTACACATACATATATGAATATAAACACACGCACACACAGAAAGAAAACCCGCATACTCACACCTGTACAGCCACATGGGTTTTAAAAGTAGGGTCTAAAGCTAACTTTTGTGCTACATGAGCTGTACTTTTCATGTTGCAAACTGTTAAAGGACGAAGACGACTGTTGCAGCAAGTAGAAATTTTTCAGACATTGGGATCCCGGCTGCGGCTGTCAGCAGTCGTGCGTGTAACCTAATATTTGAATTCGTCTCAAATAATTTAATACGCTCTGTTATTAATTGAAATTTTATCGCAGAACCCATTTGGGTACATTTCAAATCGCTTTTCTTATGTGCCTCTAATAGTTAACGTTGCTTTTTGCCCCCATTTGCTATGATCAGCCAAATACAGATAGATGAAGGGAATGGAATGGAAAAAAGAATGAAGGCTGTTAAGCATCTACAAGTAGTATATCTTTTCAATTCAATTTCAGCTCAATTTGTTGTTATTACTTTTATGTGTGGGGTAAATTTGTTGATGTATTTTGTGTGATATGTTTTACGGCAAAATTGATATTTCCAATTAATATATTGATATTTGAATATGTACTAGCTGAAAAAATAAATGGTTAAAAAAAAAAACAATTTTTTTAAATGCTTGTAATTTCCACTACAACTGCAGTTCAGCAGCAGTGCAATTTAGTTGAGGTTATCAGTCAAATGGTGCAACAACCATAGCGTAATTTGTATACCCTGTACCTGGTTAAAGGGCCTACTAGAAGGTCGTTTAGACCAAATGTATGTAACAAAAAAACGGAGGCATGGCAGATCCGATGTTATAGGTACACCAACGATCAAGATGACGAAACAAATCGACAGAGATACATATGTGTTCAAATAATGATGCGCATTGTTATCATAAGCATTAATGTACTATTAATGTTAAATATTGACACATACAAATATACACATTGAAATAATAAATTCGGAAGATACACTTTGGATTTAATAAATTCTTCCACTATGTTTCAGCTATGTACAAGTATCTCGCGGCACGATAAGCCCGACCGAAATGCCTTAGAGGCATCCAAAAAATTGACAGTCATGCACATATACAAGTACATATGTACAAGTACAGTATATATACTTGTACAAAGTCTATATAGTGAATCAGCAGAGTGTTACGTGCTGTGTGAAGCATGCACGGATTTGTCATTTAATTAAATTTAATAGACAGCAGCAATAACAGCAAATAAAACAGTTGCCCATTAGCTTGGCTGTGCACTTTTCACTGGCAGCCTTTTGATTTTTTTTTATGTTTAGATACAGACACGCATTTATTTGGCATTCATATATGTATGTATATTTATAGTATATTTGTGTGTATGTATGCACCCTAAATATTTACCAATATATAATAAAAAATAAACACTTATAAAAAGCGCGCACACACAGTTTTGTTTACAAATGTCAGGCGGACACTGTGAACGATGCGAGTATAAACAACTTAATCAGCGCCCCATCCGATCGAGATACGCAAAAGTGCCAAGTTGAGCAAAATAAACTCGTAGTATGCTAGCGGTAAATACATAAATACATGTAAACATATGGAAATTTTCATTCAAGCAGAGTCAAATTAAAAACTCAAAATCGAGCACTTTCGCTCACAAAGCAAAGCACTCCACTCTTCCAATGACAGACCGCAGACTTGCAATGAGCGCTAAGTGAGCGAGTTCGTGAGCGCGTGCACTGATAATCACCAGTGTTGCCGGGTTAGCCATTTTCTGCCAGAGCTTCTCAAATGCTTTTGGGGAGAACATTCAAAACAAAAAACAAACGGCTAGTGGTATTTATGAAAGATCTTAGAATAAGAAGCGCTATGCTTTTAGCTCTACTCCACTTTCCTTTATATATTTACAAGCATGTGTTTCACTTGTCTACCGACCAGATCAGCCAATCTATGTATATCATAAAGCAGTGATTGGAATGTTGTCTTAAATAGAGCAACATTTTCGGTTTAAATTGGTTTCAAACTGCATATCGTTATATTGTAATATTTGTTTGCTGTATATTATGGCAGCTAATACTTTTTGGAACATACTTCTCCCACACCACTAAATTGGAAGAGTTTGCGGCGTTATTTGTCACATTTTCTTAATAACAAGTATGTCTGAATGTCTCATTTGTTGATCCAGCTTTTTTTGACACAACTCTAGAGTAACACTAGCACAGCCTAAATAAAATTAGCACCGCCACACAACCGGGAGCTCTAAGAGTGATTATGGCATTGCGGTTAGACACCCAGTGCTCAGTTGCTTCCTCTACTCTCTCTTCCATGCTCTCTCTCCCTCTTCATAAGCAGTCTCCTCGACTGCCGCTGCCGGAGCCGCTGCCGGTGCCGGTGCTGCTGCTGTTAGTTGAACTTCATGCGTCGCTGGCGATGAGCGCGTTTCGTGTGAAGCTGTCGGTGAAAACGTTCGAGCTTTCTTCTAATGATCTTGCTTTAAAGTTAAGCACGTGAATTGAAACAAATTTGTTAAATACACAAAAGGTGATTTGATTTGAAATCTAAAGAAATTGAATTGTTATCAACAATTTGCAATCAACAAGCAAAGCTGGTTGTGTGCTTTCTATTACGAAATGAACTACGGGTGTGTGTGTATTAAATAGTGTGACAAATTTCACGCCGCATTTTATTTGCAATTACATGACCAGGAAATTGCTTCGAGTGCACAGTTTTTTTCAAAGATTTGCGACACTGTGAAAACGCCAACATATTAACATACAATTGCCTAGAAATTCCCCAGCACGCAATGTGTAAAAAAAACACAAAAGAAATAGAGCTCAGAAGTTATGTTCGTCTGCACCGAAGCTATATACCCTTCACCACAAGGAACCACTGGGTCCATATTTGAAATTTAATTTAAACTCTTATCAAATAGTGATCTGACATGATCGGTCTCTAGGAATAGTGATTGAGCAAACGAACAAACATGTTGAAGTGGACTTATCTCGCCATGCTGATCACAAATCAAGCTCTAATACGTGGTGTATGATATTTTCTAATGGGTGTTACAAACCGCCACAGCAAAAACAGTATACGCTTAATACAGTTTTCAGTGAAGGGCATAAAAACAGCGTTTTTCATAATGAAGTCCGCATTAAAAGTCTCACAACTTTGCCGCACATGCTCTCTTGTGGTATCCGCCTGATAACAGCTTCTCGCCATTCACCAGACTCGAAATGAGAATAATTTAATGTGTTCTTGAGCTCGAGCCAGACCAGCTTTAATTTCTGCTCAACAGCGAATGCAACAAATGCACAAATGAAGCTGTAAAAGCAACAGCAACAACAATAAATTCATTAAGCAGTGGCAAAGCCGGACTAAAAACAAAGAAAGAAAATAAAACAATAACAAAACCTGTTGATAAGGTCAATGTACAACGCCTTGCATGCTGGCTGCTCTTGTTGTTTTTGTTGCAAATACAATTGCGTGTTTCAATTATTTTTGCTCTGGTTGTCATTACTTTTTATTAATATTTTAAATATCGTTATACTTGAGTGCCGTTCTCTGAACAGCGGTTTCATAGAATGAATAGCTAATTATTACTAATAGTTTATTTTGGATGTGCAAAAAATATTACTCTATTGCGCATTTCCCTCTTCTGATCAAAATATGTACATAGTATATGCATTCAAATAAAGGAAATGCTCATATTAGCTGTTTATTGTTCGGTGCATGTTTGTTTGCCCACAGAAGGCCAGAAATAAACGGGCGCTGCAAAAGGTCTAAACAAAATGCTCCAGCAGGAGGAACCCAAAAATTGTGCGCTGCCATAAATAAACTGTTATAAATTGAAGTGAAATGAAATAAAACTGAAAAGAAAAATGAAAATGAAATAACAAAAAGCAACACAAAACGGCCAATTTTGCCCACAAGATGTCTACAAATAAGTTTGTGCATGCGGGTGTATGTGCGTATGTATGGATGTGTGCATGTTTAAATGTGTGTATTTGTGTGTGTGTAGGCAAGAGCTCAACTCATGACGCTGCTGTCAACAATAAATTTCTCAAAATACCATTCCCATTCCATTTGCCCGAGCTAGACACTTCGGTTGCTTGTGTAGGGGCAAGGGCGCCCGAGCACGTACACTTTATCAATAGTCCGTTTGCATTATTTTGATACCTACCCATCGATATGGCCAGGAAGAGGAAGAGCACTATCAAAATGTTAATATATAGAGCTCATTATCCATACTAGCCAACCAAATAGATTGTTGCGATTCCTGATATATCGCCTTTATCAAAAAAGTGTAACTTTCCAAATGTAATCAGTGCTCTGCTTTGAGCTTCTAACAAGAAATAATGATCGGTAAGAGCTATTGATACAGCTATTTGATATAATCTTAAGCACTTGAAACGGATTTGTTTTTTAACGCTTTTCCAACGCTTTTTCTGCTTTTTATACCCTGTACCCGTAGGGTAAAAAGGGTATATTAGGTTTGTGCAAAGTATGTAACATACAGAAGGAAGCATCTCCGACCCCATAAAGTATATATATTCTTGATCAGCATGACGAGAGAAATCGATCTAGACATGTCCGTCCGTCTGTCCGTCTGTCCGTCCGTCTGTCCGTCTGTCCGTCCGTCTGGATGAACGCAAGGATCTCGGAAACTATAAAAGCTAGAATAACCAAAGTTGGCATCCAGATTCTCCTAGGTCCGAGTAAGGACGAGTTTAATTTTTTTTTTTTAATTTCCTCCCCCTTCCCCCGCTACAGAATTTCGTCAATAGCGTCCACATTTCAAGTGCTACCTAAACCAAACTTTGCACACATAATTTCTATACAATTATCTACTGTTGTTTAAAATTTTATCAAATTCGGTTAATTCTAAGAAAAGTTATTAGCAAAACAAATTCTCACCAGTACAACCCCCCCAAACTGCAGCAACAAGTTCGCTCTTCTTCTTCCTCTTTATGCTGCTGCTATGGGCGCATATAACTCAGTGACGGAAGTTTACCTGGGTACAGGGTATTACACTGTCGGGCTTGCTCGACTGTAGCGTTCTCTCTTGTTAGTACTTATATTAAAGACAATATCTAACTTTGATCAAAATGAATAAACAAGAGATCGGCCTTGCGAACTCTTTATTTTCTCTCTACGACAGCATATATACTTGTATATGTACTTACTATATTCATAATAAATAATAATCATAGAATTGTATGATGAGATAACGGGGTTATTATTGCTTTCGTCTGTAGACTTTCCTACCTGCACAGCAAGCATTATAATGCCTCTATGATCCAAATTATTGTCATCTCCATTTTTAGATTATTGGTTAAGTGAAAATTAATTAATAAATTGGGCTCTTCTTTTATACACAATTCTAAATTTGAAAATTTAAAAACAGTAATTTGGGAATTCTCGCAACGTCTACATATTTAAGTTAATGTTCATGACCAATTAGAAATAAAATTAGGCAATATAAAACATAATTAATATTGAATATTTTTTCGGCCTAATTTCTAGTTGCGTTTGGTCACTTATAGTACTATATATCCTAAAACTGTATGTAAGTCGGCTTTTGTTCCACTATTGCAAGTATGCTTAGAGTGTCTATGGTCTCGAAGATTTATTAGTGGTTGACTTTACTGATCAAAAAAGTGAAAGAAAAGCAAATCTACATATATTTGTAGGGAGATTTAAATAATGTTTCAAATAATAAGTAAGTTTATTTTTACAACACTTGCAATATTTTCAAGTTTTAAAAGAATTTTGAAATATGTACATAACTTAGATTCGATAATGAAGATTCAATTAATGGTTCAAAATATACATGCTATTATTAAAACTTGTATTAAGCAGGTTTATTTCCATCGGCAAAATTGGGTTTTTTGATCTCATACCCGGTGCAGTGGGGGCGCCTGTACGCTGCTGACATGTCGCAGCCGCTGCCTCTCCGCCAACGCCTCAGCCATAGCCCCTCGTACTGTGACAAAGGCAATGCTGGCACCCAGCAAAGCACCCGCCAGGACATCCGACCAGTGATGCTTGTGGTCCACCACCCGGACTAGGGCCACAAAAGTGGCGAACATCACACAAGCCAGTTGGCAAAGAGGCCATAACAATGTGCTGCCCACACCAACCGATCTCCAGCGACGTCCTCGATGCACTTGCAAGTAGAGAGCCATAAAAATCAACCCGTAGAATATTCGAGCCGAGTGGCCACTGGGGAAGGAATAACGCACATTATAGGGCATATCAGATCGGCAGGCGTAGTTTGTGTGATAGAACCCATTTGTTGAATTCAAGCAGGTACTCCCATGGGTGAGAAGCGGTTGACAAACCGCAAAGAAATACGGTCGTAGGCGGCCCACGGTGTGTTTGGTCATTCTGGCCAGCAACGACTGCGCCTCGTAGCCAAAGAGAAAATATCTCAAAGTGTTGTAAAGTGGCCAGAGATGCAGTATTCCAACATCTTTATAGTTGTATCGGTGCCAGCATTTGCACAACTCCAACAAAATGATCACCACAAGCGGCACGTAAAGAGCCACAACGAAAACCAGGCTAGAACTTACAGTGCTCTCCTTTAAAGGAAACATCAGCGTTCGATCGTCGCAGTAAAAGCCACTTTGTGTAGTCGGAAACCATAATTTCCAAAAGTTCAGAATCCACGCCAGTAATCCCCCTAACAACAATCCGTCGATCAGCAGGCGAATAAGCAAGAATTTTAAGTGCATAATGAATGTTGATGAGTACTCCGCTGAGTATAATGAGGAACTGAATGACACTGCGGAGATATTCTCATCTCAGTTTGCAAAAAAGCTTTTTCTTCAAATAGCTTATGAGGGATTATAATCATCTGGTAAAAAGTGTGCGAAGTGCAAAGTGATGAATAGCACTAGTCAACTTAAATCTTGATCATTAAAAGTGAAATATAATTGGTCTTTCGCCATAACCAATATTTTCGAAGCCTTATCGGCCCAATGGTTTTAGCTTATTGTGTTTAAAACGGAACATATTTGTAATTTCACCTTAAACTTTATTGCAACCAATTCGGAGAGAGAAATATGGCACCCCAAGCTGAAGAAAAATACTCTCCCGATATGCCGACCCATACAAAATATTTCTACGGTACACCGAACGTATTTACAATTCAGTTTGATCCTTGAACCCAACTTTCCCCCACTTGTGGTAACTTCCGTACATTTTCTAATAAAGTTCTATTTTTTTAAGTAAAACCTCAAGTTTTGTAGTCCAGTGAATTCAGCTTGTATAACTTTTTATCAGTTGAAATATAAACTGTTCGCAGACTAATTAGCAGCATAAACTGTCTTATCTACGCCGCTGATAGCTGCAGAGGCCAAATCTTAAAAACACTGGCAGCAGTCAGCCAGCTGGGGACCAGCACAGCGGTATTCAAAGATTTTGTGTATATTTATTTTTAGAGTCAGCATAGTGCTAGCTACATTTAATAATTTTTACACCATTAGAAAAATACTACCGCTTCATGTTATCAAATTGAAAAGCGCCGTTAGCTTATATCTAATCTTAGTACAATTCTTATTTATCAGAAAACAACTTAAAATGCTATAAACTTTTGTGAAAGTCAATTTGAGTTGTATGTACTATACAACCAGAGTGCCAGGGTGAATAAGTCGCATTGCCGAAGGCATGTGTGAGGTGTGGGGTGTAACTATCGAGCTCAAAAACAGTTTCAAAAAATTTAAATGTCGAAGCTCTTATCAAAGCTTCACGAACACCGCAACGTGGCGCTTTATCGCGATGCAATAAATAAATCAAACGAAGTTAACTAAAATGTGGAACAAGCACTAGTTACATGCCAAACAAAAACGAGCGATAAGCAAACTTATTAGCAAACTGAACATATGGGGAGAAACACTTTAACGACAGTGTAAATACCTTAAGGCATGCCAAAAACAAACAACTGGGGGAGAACCTTTTGCTTTGATATTGATAAAAAATATAGTTCACTTTGAAGTTATGCATTTTATTTAATTGTGTGCAACTATCAGTTCTGTTCCCGTTTTAAGAAATCGGTCATTTTTTAAATGGCGAACAGCAATTGATTTATTTGGTACAAAAAGTTAACCGCAGGGCAAAACTCAATCGGTATCTGAACGTTTCTTAGAATTGGGAGTATTGGTTAATTATACTCTGTACAAGAAATGTACAATTTAATTTATCACAAATTTCACAATTTTAGTTTTGTGCGAGTGCACATGGAACACACAGAAGGAGGCTTGGTAGACCCCACAAAGTATATATATTATTGATCAGCATGACAAGCCGAGTCGATATAGCCATGTCCGTCTGTCTGTCTGTATGAACGCAAGGATCTCCGAAAGTATAAGAGCTAGAATAACCAAACTTGGTATACAGATTCTCCTGAGACCGAGAAAGGACGAGTTTGTTCATTTTTTCTGATCCGCCCCCCCACTCCCCTTATATTACTGATTTTCTATAACTGTAATTCTTGGAATTTTGAACTAAAATTTGGTAGTCACATTAGGTTGGTAATTATATATCCGTATACCAAGTTTCATTATGATAGAATGATCGGAAAGAAAGTTATAGCCATATAACCAGGCCCAATGCACACATACATACATATGTACAAGTACACAAACACGCATAAGGCACGATTCTGATGTAAATGTAAATGTATGTATGCATGCATGGAATATTTTATATTTAATTAGTTAATATTTAGTTAATTAATTAAATTAAATTAATTAATTAATTAAATTACTTTTTTGTGGGGTGGTACAGGGTATTTAAGAGTTGAGCCTGCTCGACTTTAGCATTCCTTTCTTGTTTTTATTTAATTTAATTGATCAGAAATTGCACAATTTAAATCTCGATTGCCATCTCTTAAGTACTTAGTATGAGAATGCAGAGGAGGGCTGCCACAATATTTATTTTATTAAATTTAATTTATCAAAACATTTCACAATTTATCTTTATTTAATTTAAATTATCAGAAATTTCACAATTTAAATCTCGATTTGCCATCACTTAAGTACTTGGTATGGCAGATCCCTCATAGTATATATGTATATTCTTGATCACCACGACAAGACGAGGCGATCTAGCCCCGTCTGTCCGTATCAACACTTGGATCGAAGAGACTATAAGAGCTAGAGACCCAACCTTTTGCACAAAGATGCCTTATTTGTGTAGGCTATATTTGTTTTATTTTTTGATTTTCCCCCACCTATGGGTTATTTTAGGAAACGCCGTTAGCATAATCACCTAAATCTCTATAAGGCCTAGGGACACAAAATTTCATTCCAAGATGCCTTATGTAAACACGCAGAAAATGTGTATTTTGGAATTTCCTCCCCCCTCAGCTCCGCAATTTCTGATACCATAACTCCCGTAATTCTTGGAATTTAGAACTCAAATTTGGCAAATACCCCCAGTTTTGTTTAATTTTTTTTTTTAATTTTTTAAATTTCTATAATTATTCTACACACACATAGTATGTACAGAGTATTTCAAAGACGGGACCCGACTTTAGCTTCTCTACTTGTTGTGCGGGGAAGTATACAATTGGTTTCTGCAGCTAACATTAAGGATTCCTTAATTGAGTTTATAAATTTGATTTAAATGTCTTACGATGTTAGAACTACACACAAATATAACACACAAATTTCGTATCTATTCCCCCTTTTTAGTCCCAAAACACCACGCACCACAACCACAACACCGCAACAGATTAACAAAAGAGAATCCGCTATAATATAAAAGATAATGCTTACAAAGGCCACTCTAATACCGCATGCTAGTGCACCCGTTCACTAATTATGATAAATACACAATACACATTACACAGAGCATAGCAAGGACGAATTAAAACAAAACACAAAAACAGAAAAGAAACGGAAAGAGGAACATCAAGGAATCACAGAATCACGACAACAGTATTGAGGCAAACAGACATACAGACGAGAAAACACAGACAAGGACGAGAAAGAGGGCGGGGACAGGGATCGGGACGAAGGCGAAGGCGAAGACGAGGACGAGGACGCCGACGAGGACGAGGACAACAAACCAAACAAGACAATGTCAAAATATCAAAAGCTTGACAACGCATCGGTTCCCATAACACACGATGACTACGACGAGAGTTTTTCACTTTACTTCGATGATAATCAACACAGCAACAACAACAATTTCAGCGAGAACGTTAATGATAACAGTGGCAGCATAAGACTGAATATTGTGGCAGGCAATCACAATCACAATCACACTCACAATCACACACTCATGCCAAATGATAATCCCAAATACAGTAGTGTCGGGCGACACCACAACAATGGCAGCAGTCGCAGTGGCAGTGGCAGTGGCAGTGTCAGTGGGAACGTGGTGGCACATGAACTGGAGGAGCATACGTGGGAGGTGCCGCTACTGAGTCGGGAGGATAGTGGCAATAATCTGGCAAGTGTTATTGTTGTTATTTCTGCTTTTAGTCGTTGCTGTAAATATGCATATGCATGGGAGATGTTCATGATGATGATTGATTAATTTAAAACGCGCAAAAAACATCGCGCTGCCCTTAGTATGCCATGAAACTCTTGCGCTTTAAATATGCAACCCATTTATATGCATATACTCTCTCTCTCTCTCTCACACACACACACATACACAAAGTCTGTCATATTTATAAGCCATTTGTGGCACTTGCAGTTACATCAGCAACATCATGAGTCCGGGAATCCAGAACATTGTCATCACGCCCAGAGTGGTTTTGGTGCGAACCTCAAAAGCAAATCGGCGCAGGAGGCCAAATTTAAAATTCTGCTCGCAATTTCGCTCTGTTGCATATTCATGGTTAGTATACACGCACACATACATACAACCACACGCGCACACACACAGACACATATGTATATATATATTCACACTCACGTGTGTGTGTGTGTGGGCTTGATACTTGATTTAATTATGATAAATTTACCGGCACACTAAACCGCAGATCATTGAATTCCTTGGCGGATACATGGCCGGCAGCTTAGCGATTATGACAGATGCCGCACATTTAGCCTCCGATTGCATTAGTTTTGTCATTGGTCTGGTTGCCATTTGGTTGGGCGGCCGACCACCGGATGCGCGCATGTCATTCGGCTACAAACGCTTTGGTAAGTATCCAATTATATCCGACACTATGCTAATGAGATATGTTATGTGTCTGTATCACTAACTGTGGCTGTTATAATGCCTGTCTGCCTGTCCCGTGTTTATTACTTGAAGGCTAACGTCAGTGAAAAGCAGTAGAGAAGCATGATTACAAAATTGATTTAGTCTAATAGTTTTGACGCCTTTGAAGGACTGGCATTGATATTCCCCTATGAAATTGTCGCTTAACATGGCTTCGATTAAATTCATAGTAACTTAATGTCCTCCTCACATATTCGTTCTTATGTTAAGAGAGTGCTGCTAAAACTTGATATTAAATATAATTCAAAAACATATACTTATTAACTCGTCTTGTCGGGTTTTGTCCAATATCATCGAACTGATTAACTAGTTTAATATTTTAGTGCAGTAAACCAAAAACTTCCTAGGCGTAAATCGCTTTTAACTTTTGAACGAAAATATTAAAACATATATCGTTTCAGAAGTAAACAGAATTCAAGATAGATAGAAGATTGATTTTAAGAATAATACCTTTATGGAATCACAGTCTTTTTGAAAAGTAAAGCTTTAACCGCAACAACATCTTATTAGTCATATCTTTCTGTTTTTCTGCACATTTTGCAATATTCTTTTTTAGCTCTCCATTTTTTCATTTTCCCCACTAATTCTACTTACAAAGCTCTTGGCACGTACCCATCTCTAACCCCTGTAATTGCATTTAGCTTCCTATTATTAGCACCACATTATTAGGCCATGAACTGTCAATTTTCCCAGCGATATTATATATATGTACAAGTATATGTGTTTACCCTTTCACAGAGGTTCTGGGCGCTTTAGCCTCAATTCTGGGCATTTGGCTGCTCACTGCAATGCTGGTTGTGGTGGCCATTCAACGCATCTACTCTCGTGATTTTGATTTGGATGTCGATATAATGATGTTAATTTCGGGAATCGGCATAGGCATAAATATTATGTGAGTACATACACATGAAAGCAGAGTTTAGTGCGAACATCTAAAGTTGAAGACCTGCCCCACAGCATGATGTTCGTTTTGCACGGCTCCTGGTTTACCACAGGTCATGGGCATAGCCATGGAAATGGACATGGACATGGGCATAGTCATGGTGGACACAGTCATGCGCATGCCACGCCCCCAAGCCCAACAGCGCACAGCGGCCTAACAATGCCAAATGGCCATAATGTTGTTGTTGTAACAAATGGCTTAAAGCCGACGCATCAAAATGGGTGAGTTACTATATTTTGTTTATTTTCCAATTTATGTGTGTTTGTGATTTCCAATGGCATGCGGTTAACGGTTTTAATCGACAATTCAAAACAAATTATAAAGTGAAGTGTTGGATCAAAGGCTGTCGTTTGCTTTACCGTGCGTAGCTTAAATTTCATTTTATATCGCTAATTGGTTTGTAGATTGGTTGTTTTAATTTGTGGCTGCCCTTCTAGGAAGGGGACTTAATTACATTTGTTAGTTATCTTTTATTAGAAATTATGTTTATCATCATTCAATTCAGAAGTCAAACTCATGATTATTTTATTAATAATTTTATGTTCATTTGAAGTGAGTCATGAAAAAAATTTATTAACTGTATTCAGCTAAGATATCGGTCTTCAACTTATTACTCAGTTGGTATAAGTACGTTTCACAGAATTTAAATGAATTTGATTTGCCTTTGTCGGATGAACAATGAACGATTGCAGTAATATATTTTTCTATCCATTTGTTGGTGTAGGGTTAAAGCTGACAGACGAAATATACACATTAGCTAGAATGTGGGAAACATATTTGATAAAGTTTTATAAATAAACAATAGTTCCAGCTATTGGAAGACCGCTTCGAGAATGTTTGACGATATCGACAAAAAAATAAATAAATGAAGCTAACAGAGTGGAGAGGTTATTATTACAGCTGAGCTAATTAGTATCACATGCTTCGCGATCGTACTTTATGCCTAATTGGGAGATCAGAGAACATGACTTGCCACTCGTTTAGTAACACACTTTAATAGGAATACAAACATATGTATATTCCACACAGACACAGTCACAATCATTCGGAGCGAAATATGAACCTGCGAGCGGCGATGATTCATGTCATTGGCGATTTGGTGCAGAGCATTGGCGTCTTTCTGGCCGCAGTATTAATCAAATTTTGCGTAAGTTCGTGTCTAGACAAGTCAATTAATTAAAGCAACTATGTTTATGCAATTACTAAGGGGTACACGGAGCAATGGCAATAATTCAATTCACGTTCTCACTCTTTCAATCGCCACCCACTTAACAGCCAAGTGCCAAGTATGCGGATCCGCTGTGCACACTGCTCTTCTCGATAATTGTTATTATGACCACGGTGCAGCTGTTCCGAGAGTCTGTGGCCATATTGCTGGATGCGGTGCCTGTCGGCGTGAATCTGCCATCTCTGGAGCAAGAGCTGCGTAGCGTAGAGGGCGTCAAGTGAGTCCAGAGTACAGATTCCGCTTGAATAGAGTCATTTAACTCGAATTGAATTTTCCTTACAGATCGGTGCATCACTTAAATGTATGGCAGCATACCAGCGAGCACAGTGTGCTTATGGCGCACATAGTCATAGGTAAATGGATACTAATTACTTACAGTAGTTTCTTTTCTCATTTCCATGCTCCTCATATTCCTATTGCAGATCCATTCGCCGATGGCGACAGCGTACTGGCGCAGGCAACGCAACTGGCCTCGGGACGCAAATACAACATCAAGCATGCGACCATACAAATCGAACGCTTGACTGACTAATTAAATTATAAACAAACAAACATTAGCCATAAGTTAAATAATTGATAGCAACAAGCTATAATGCTGATGACCAAAGTCTGCGTGCTATAGCATTTTTGTGATGTATGTATGTATGTATGATTATTCACTTTTTATGACATAAGTTGCGCGCTTTTAAAACCATTTTTATGATTCCCAGATAAGTAAATTGTTTTTTTTTTGGCATTGTTCGCGCTCCCCATTTATCCAAATTTTATGTATGTATTCCATTTAAACCAAATGTGAAGAGGAAAAAAATTAAATGCAATATAAATGCAACTGTATTATTGAATTTGTAAGTAAATTTCTGTGAAACAAGCTGGATATCATTGTGTCGAGAGCGATAATAATTTTTTACCCGGAATTTAAGAAGGAAATCAAATACAAAAACCATAAATCAAACTTTCATAAATATGTTCATTTGTTTTCCTGCGAAAGCACTGTGTGATTCATATAATATTTGTGAAAGAACTAAACTTGAATTAAACTACACAAATGTATTCATTACAGCAGCGTTGTAAAGACTTTCAGCGATATTATCACTTTTAAATGTAAAATTGTAATTAACATTTTACAAAGTACAATAAATCATATGCTTTAAAGTACCAGCAACAACGTCAGCCATTAATGATAATCACTTTTCTAACTTGACAACATAAACAATGAGAGCAAGCCACAAAAAAAGAACTAATTTTAATTAGCCTAAGAAAATGAAAACGTTGCAGTCCATAAAAAGCTTTTCAAACGCACATCTATACATATACATGAAACTGTAGATGTTGTTGTAATTCATATGACTGTATAATTAATTATAATTGGCCATATCAGCGAGAAAAAATGCGCGAGAAGCAAAACTGCTTTGTCTGTTCGTCCTGCGACGGGCATAATGTCCTGAGAGGCTTGCTGTGCAATTGATGCCATTATTTCTAGCATTATTTGTATTTTAATTAAAATCAGCAAACAATTTATTGTTTGTCACAATACAAAGGAGTTTAATTCGGAAAATTGATATACTTACCTACTAAATGCGATCAAGTAGCTGAAACAGAAACAAAACTCATAACAATTACAATGGGACCATGCTCAGCAAAAGCATTCAATTGCCAATCAGACGATGAAATCAATTGAAGTTAATAAATATTATTAATTATTATATTGCGATAATTCAAGACAGCATTCGATTAGTGCCAAGACACATTCTCACACAACAGCAGACGCATAAATAATGGTCTGCTCTGCCAAAAATAAATTCAACATGAACTTGGGAGCAGTTTCGTGCTCGTACAATCCTCAGCTAACAGTTATGATTAGTCTGGGACAAAGAGGGTCAATTTCATTATATTCAAATAAATGAAGTGTTTTAACTATGAAAACTATTAAAAGCTTCGCTTACTTGTTTACTATACATTCAGGTAATTTGTAATAATATTTATTCGACGTTCGTTCGTTCAGGCCTATAAGCACACACGAATCATTTGACCCCCAAGTTATTTATTTATGCATTTGACTGCCTAACACACACACACACTACTAAGTTTGTTATTAGGTGCATATGAGTATATATAGTATGTACGTATATATATTTATGTAGTTACATATATGAACGAAATTACATGCTACTAATTGTTGTTTTAATAATTCATTAGCTTGAGGACGCACGCACACATATACACATGAGTTTTTCACAGAAACACAAGCAAAAGCGCAAATGCCGTAGTTAATGCAATGAGAAATTGTCATAATTCATATATTGGACAAACATGTAAATCCGATTAGAATATCGCTTGGCAACATACACACGCACACGCATAGCAGCTTGCTTTCATTGAACCGGAAATGACCAAATCAAGCATGCCGAATGAGCGTGCGGCACACAACTACTAACGCATATCGCTCAGTACATATTGTTAACACATGAATGAAGTCAAGTCTGAGCATCTTAATCAACAAACTCACACACTCAAACGCATTTACACACCCGCAGCATTTGTCAGTTGTTAAGTCTCGCGGCAACTTAAGCCTCTCAAGTTGGGCACCCAAGGCGATGCCCTTTTTTCTGCTTCAAGTTATTCAGTTCAATACTTTCGGACACGATTAAGTTATTTATAATTTATGAAGCAAAAAGGCAACACCGAAATTTCCATTTCACTGCCAAGGAAATTGCGTTAAAATGATGAAGCTGTAAGTCGCAGGCAAGTGAAAATTGAAAACCCTTAACCCATATGAACAAAGTGGCAATCACTCTCTGAATATACGAGTATAGTATGTGTGTACGTTAATAAATCAAAACGATGGCATATTTCGACCACTCATACTCCCATACTCCCGCACATTTTGCTCCTTTTACTGTGGGCTCATTAAAAATGCAAATGGCATATATTGAAAGACTTCACTGACCCAATTACTATATATACATAGTATAGTCGTATGTATCCTCCTATGCTGACTATTTAGTCTAGCAGATTGGACTGCTTTAAATCCATTACTATATTACATTTAATTATGGAATGACAAAAAATTGCACTCGAAGGCAAAGCCCTTACCACTCACTTTTTGCCACTTGCTTCGTTCCTCAAGTGTGTGGCACTTCAAATCTGTGTGTAAATCTAAAATTAATGGCATACTTGATGCGTCACTAATTAGAAATGCATATAACGAAAATCGTAGCATACTTTTTGGAGCAGCTGAAAAAGCAAGCACAAAAGCGCTTAAAAATGAAAACTCAAGTTGCACTTAACACTTTCGACACACACACACACACACATACACACTCGCACTCACGAATCCAGATATGGATACGGACATTGCGATTGAGAGAGAAAGAAAGAAACAGAGACAGGGCGATAGGACGACTGTAATTGAAGTGGCTATGCACGTGCACGGCACTCAAAGCTGCAGCCAAATGTGCCATGTGCCGTGTGCCACACAAGCGCACACACACACACAAACACACATATATTAATTCGGGGACAAAAATGAAAATTTAATTTCACAACCGAAACGAAGTTGGCAGACGCGTTTTTGCATTTACTCTTTATTTATTATAACATAACAAATGCAGTATTTACTTTACGCGCAGACTCCTCCATCCGTCGCACCGTTATTACAATTTACAAAAAATTCCTTCCTATACTTATATATGTATGTATTAGCTATATATAGTATGTCGGTGTTTGCGCTTAAGACTATCATAAGATTTGAAAACATTTGCGAATGATATTTATTTCTAGCTCAGAATAAAGAAATTGTCGTAAATTGTACATAAGAAATTAGAAAGAAAGGTAAGGTAAACGAAAATGTTTTTAAGCGGCTTAATAAATTTTTGAGTACTTTTTCGTTGCTGAACCTAAGCCTTAAGTAACCGGATTGCTGTCTGTAAGGATTTTGGGCATACACAGCAACACATACATGTGTGTATGAGACAATACAAAATGAGCTTATATCTAAATGCTGAATAAATTATATGTACGACTGTGCGCGATTCTCTGGCAGTTAAGTTACAACAACAAGAATAACAACAACTAATATACTGGCATTTCAAGTCGTGTGCTTAACATATAAGTATATAACTATAGCTACAGCTAACTTCCTATCAACTGCATATAACCTGAGCATTTACAATTTGGTCTTACAACTATAGCCTTAAATATGAAACTGTGGGAGTGCCATCCAAGCGTTTTATCATTTTAAAAAAGTTGAACACAGTTCAGAAGCTGCCACTGAGTGGACAGCTTGTTAGTTGTATCCTCGTCTTGCGCTCCTCGGTGAGCCCAGATGTGGATGGCCATAGATAAAGGACTCGTCACTCACCACGGGGGGACTCAAGTTGTGCTGCATGTGACGGCTTTGCGAACGTTGTTGTGGCTCTGATGAGTAGTTAAATGAGTAGTTACGAGTTAGGCATCATTAATTGTGCGGCTAGTCGTAGAACTCACCTGCAAAAGGACTTCTATTCGGGGATGCAATGAACGGGCTACGAGGACTGGACATAGGTGACGACCTTTGTGACGATATATTGGATTTATCGGACTGAAATGCTAGAATATAAAAATGTTGAATATAAAAATGGAGATTGTAATAAAGTTAAAAATTAAACCGTAATAAGGACGAAATTTGCAGTAAACAGGAGCCAGAAAAATAGGCTTAATAAAGCCTGCATAACATCGGGGCTCAAGAAGTTATGAATTTTCAAATCCACGAGTTCAGAGAGTCAAACAGATTGACAGAGGGGAAACATGTGAGTAAGATAATCAAAAGATATTGGGATGCTTATTCTAAATATAATATTTAAAAGAACGATCTAATCCCTCTCAGTGTAGATATGTCTTTGTAAGCTCTAAACTGTGCGACACGATCTCTCTGTCTTTGAGATAAAATTTCACAATTTTCAAATCACAATTAATCGATGTGTTGTGTTCAGAGCAGAACCGTTGATCTCTATTTAACTTTGTTATGCTTGTTTTGAGTTCTTTCACTTTAATATGGACGTGCTCTTGCCATCACTTTTCTGGCAGAGCTTTTGTTCTTTCTTCAGTTCTAGGCACGCCGCAATAATGATAATATAATATTAATATTAATATTCGAAATATCCTCTAATGAAATTGAATACCCTAAAAAAACAATGTTCTTTAATTGGAATGGGCTACTAACTTTCTCGCTTACAGTCTTTCAAGCTCGAAATAAATGTTGATGGCAAGTTCTCAACTTAGCCGAAGCTCAAGTTGATTTCGGTCTTCAAAAGTAGTCTTGCACATTTGACGAATACATATATACAAAGCCCTTTCATACAAATATAAATGCATGCGCAATCAAATGGACTTAATGTACCAGACATCATTTTTGTGTGTTCCTTTTTAGTTATTTCATTTGTATATTTTTACGAGTATGTTTCAATTGGCCACTGAAGCCAACAAAAAATTGCTCATGTTATATAATGTTTTCTGTTTTTCTGCCGGCCATTAAATTAGTGATAATTGCCAAGAGCGCAACACCAACGGTATCGTAAAACATAAACTTAAAATAAAAAGAAGGCGCTTGTTTAAGCTGGACAAGCTCACACACGAACCAGCAATGGCGTTCGTGGCCAGGCGCCAAGAAGTGGCACGACTCGGGCTCGGAAAGTAATTAAGGCATGTAGACAGTTTGCCGCGTCGACGAGCAAACATGAGGAATGGCAGAAAAACATTTTTGGCAACAGAACAGAACAGAACAGAACGCAGAACAAATAATTTAGCTATTAAAATTAGTGTGAAAATTACGTGAGGGTGGCAAGTTGCTGACCTCGCAAACTGCTCATTAGAGAAAATGCCTGAACGAAATCTTAAGTAATTAGACTAATTTCGTAATTAAGGTAATTTGAGCGACTTGTGGGGCGTTGGCAACTTTACTGATAAAATGCAAAATACGCCGTGCCACGCACTTATCGCACAAACAGCTATAAAAACAACAACAACCACTTGCCACGGCCACCTTGACTTTTTCTTCTTCTGCGGTTTCGTCTGTCCAGTTTATTTTGCTTCTTTGCGGTCGCAAAACAACTAAAGAACTAATGCGCAGAGTGCTGTAAATGATTTAAAGCTTACAGCATCATCTCGCATTCAAGTCAAGGACGCTTTTTATGAGCGCATCTAGTTTATGTGCTTTCTATAAATTCAATTTTGGGCGTCTTAGCAAAACATTCACCCAATTGTGCTAGTAAAAATATTTTACGCAGTTCTTTTTCATTGCATTTGACAAAAAAGACTGCTCGTAATGTTGTTTAACCTTGTGTGATGGTATGGGAGATAACGAGACTAATCAGTGCTAAGCGCATGCAAAGGCAAAGTTTAGAAACTGTCCGCATATAACACCCAATTTTATTTATTTGAGTAACGCTTTGGTTAGTTAAGATAGAAATTAGTGCGTTGCGATTCCATTATCACACTCGACTAAGAACCAAAATTAAGACTACATTCATATATGTTTCTGAAAGTCTGAAAGTTTTGTTGATGGATTATTCTTCTATCTTTGTAGTTATTTTTTGTTCGCTTGCTTAGGTCTATTTGCCAACTGAAGATCAAAATGATGTTTTCTATATAGTTTCAGTTACTTTTGAACCTCATTCTGCTAACTGGCAGCAGTCAGGCTAGCCGTCTGGATATCAGATGCTTAGAATTCTGACGTTTTTCATTTGGCTCCTCATACAGATGCTGCATAAAACGACAATAAGGTATAGGTAACTGATCTTAAAAGAAATATTGTCGTGTATGTACGAGTATAGTTAAGCAAATAATGTATTTTCTGGGACAATTTTTTGAGATAATACCACAATTCCCAACTTCATTTGCAATCCCATCACGCATATTCTTTACCCATTTTTTGAGCAGCTGACTGCAAAAACTTAAGCAGAAAGTGCACAAGCGGACCGATGCCCGTATACAGAAAAACTACGAAAATCAAAGTTTAAGTCATAAATAAAAAATGTAGTAAACGCAAGACGCCAAGTATACGATGGCAAGGCAAATCTAACGTCTCTGCCTCGGCTCCCTGCTGCTGATACTACTGATGATGATAGTGCAGAGACTGCGGCTGTTATCGCTACAGTCGCTCAAAAGTTTTTGGTATTCATGCACGAAATGACTAAAAACTTAAAACTAATAGAAGTGTAGCAAAAGTTATGCGTGGCTGCTGCTGCCATTGCCCCTCAAAAAGGGCGAGAGGTGGTGGGCACTGGGCGATGGGCGTTAGGCGTTGCCTGCCAGAATGTACGTACTCGAAATTATTAATTAAACTTACCCTCCGAGTTGAGTGTTATGACGCCCTGCGTTTGGAAGCAAGTGATGTACACTGCAAGAAAAGAAGAAAAGAGAAAAATTAATACGAAAGAAGAGCATGTAAGTACTCATGTACGAGTATGTGTATGCGTGCTTGTGCGACATCTCGTGTGCTGCAAGTTGTAAGTTGCAACTCCCTGTTGCAAGTGAAGCGTAGTTGCATGCATGGGAAATGCAATTAATCAAGTTGCAAGCTGTCGAGCGCCGTGATGTTGCTGTTGTTGCTTTTGTTGCAGCTACTGTTGTTGATGTTACTGTCGTTGTTACTGTTGAACTGTTAACCCTCGCACGCACACACACGTACGCATGTGTATAGCAGTCAGTTGCATGGAAAACGTTTACTGCCATGCAACTAACAAACAAAACTTCTTATCAGTTGCGGTTACAGAAAGAAAAAAAAACAAAGAAATAACACACCAAAAAGGAAAAACAAAACATTGGACTGCAGTAGAGGGTGGAATAGAGATGTGCTGTTATAATCCACAAGTTCCGCTATAACGAGCTTCCATACAGGACAGACTCCAAAATAAAAATTAGACATTCCTTAAAGAGATAACACAATATACATAATTAGAAGCTTAGCACACTCATCGAATCTATTTGCGAACAGGAACTTAAGAAAAAGACTTTTGACGCTGAGGGTGATGATGTTTACAAAGTCTGAAGTATTTTTCATTTAACATGTTATTTAAAAGGAAATTATAGAAAACATCTTATTCATTACAAAATGATACAAATATCCTGACTGTAACATTAATTAAAATTTGCAGTAAACAAAACTCACAAATATTTTCTAAGGAGAGTGCGTCTCTTGGTTCTCATCCACTGAACTAAGTCGTAAGTAGCGTAAAAGTGTAAAAACTAGTTCACTATTTGCCATCACTATGGTGTGTGTAACTGGAACAACAACTACTGTGCATCCTGTACAAGGTAAACGTTAAGTTTGTTAGCTACTTTTTATTGGGTGTAAAGTGTTTTCAAACCGATAACACTGCGATGGACCGACCAACCGACCGAACGAACCAACGAACGAGCGACGGACCGACGGACCGACGAACAGACCGGCATCGACACAGACCCCCTTCTACTTGTAGTCCACCCAACTCTCAACTGAACTGGCAACTGCCAACGTGGGATCCGCTGAAAAACGGGAAACAACAAATTCAAAAAGGGCAAAACTTTTACTCAACTACTACAACTACAGCAACATTTTGCTGCCAGCAGTGGGCGTGTAAAAATATCAAAACACAACAACAACAACAGCTGCAGCAAATAAAAAAATTGAAGCAGAAAGCTGAAAAGGAAGAAGCAGCAGAAAGTTTAACGAAGCGTTCTCTAAGCGCAGGTCGCTTGAAGCGTCACTAAAAAGGTCTGCCGTCAAAGGATAAAACAGCGAGTCGACTACCTGGTCGGTCATCCAGCTACAGGTTACGTTGTAGATTAAAAATGCATGGAATTTGCGATTAACTGTAGAATCAACAGCAGGAGCAGCAACAGAAACAGAAACAGCAACAACAACAACAACGATATTACAGTTATATTTTTGGATATACATATACTAATGTTGCTCTGCAAAGTTCCAATATTACACTTATGATTTATGACATTTGGCCTTACGCAAAGAAAGTTTATCAAGTTCACGGCGCTCCATAATGATTTATGTGCAAAATTTTTCCATCTTTGAATTAACCCTTCACCCATATGTACTTACCCCAGAAAGAAAATACTATGATGATGACGGTTGTAATTATGAAGCCCAGATTCTCGATAAGTCGATAAAATAATGTGCTACTATACGGTCGACTAGAGCACTTTTGGGCCAACATTGTGTTACCATATACGGGCACCTGAAATGAAAATCCAAAAGAAATATATTCAATTTAATAAAAGACGCATTTTTGAATACAAATCTCACATTTAAAGCAATTGAAAAAGAATTAATAAATAAAATCAAAACAAATAAATCAGCAGAGTTTCGTTTCTGCTTATCTTAACTGACAAGCCAAGTAATTTGTATGTAAACCTGCAGTTATTTTTACTAACAACATTTACAAAAGTTGATGCAGACTTCAATCTGGTAGACAGCTGTCTAAATATATCTGCAATGCAAAAAACTTGAGGCATCAACACAAATGGTGTGCGACCGCAGAGCAAAAGAGCAAAAGTGTTTTAATTGAACTTTAACTTTATTTTGAACTAAATTTTAAATGATGTTACGCAAAAATTTCATTTAAAGTAAGCCTTTACATCAAAGAAAACCATTAACTCAGTCTTTGGAGTTTAATAACAGTTTAATAACTTAACATTCGAATATTAGATTAAAAACATCTCCGGCCTGAAAAAAAGTGATTTGTTGCTATAACAGCCAAGTAAGCAATCGTTGATTACCGTCAAATATAAAGAAACGATATTTGGTTGCCCAGCAACAACGTTGTCCTCCCATTCTTAATAATATAAGCTGCCATAAATAGAAACTATTAAGTAACGAAAATTGAAGAGCGAAAAGGGCGGTGTGTATTGCAATTTTCCACACACTTATTTGGAGAGAAGAGTATAGTTTCAAAATGTTTTCAGTTTGCTGGAAATGAACTGCTTTTATAACCTTATTTCTTGCAAAGTTTTAATTACTTGCTTTGAAAAATATTGAATGCTTTTTTTTAAAATTCGGTTTTACACAAAATTGGCAATTGCAATGAACTTGTTTTGTTTGGTGTTACTTCCCATAATTTTGGCTAACAAATGAGCACTTGGAGGTTTATTGTCCCTACAGCCGTTGCCATTGAAGACAACGCACATATACTCGTACAAAAAAGCGATCGACTTGTGCTCCAAATTTATTGGCATGAATTGTGTCTCCCCAAGTATGGTTGTACATAGCAATCTACACACACACACACACACACACACGCAAAAAATAGAACTGTGCGTGAATGCGTGATTCACGAAATAATCACTACACGCATATAATCAAATCAAAGTCGGTAAATGGCTATTAAAATTAGGCCTTCAGAGTACGCACATATCATGAGAACTAGGTACTTCAAAAAGCAGCTTAGACAATTCAAAGTAAAAAATTGTAATTGTAGTTGAGATTAAATAATATTTTATTGCCTTTTTCAATCAATTTAAAGGTTATTCTTTTAATGCAAGAAAAAAGCATTATTGATTTGCGAAATAGATGACTATATAAGTATATAAATAAAGAAAACCTTAGTACAAAGAACACTCCCATTGATTTGTAATTCTCACAACAATGTTTTATTAAACATGAAAAATTTGTTTCACATCTATAAACTCAGGGTAGTCGTTGGAAAGTATAAAAATATGAAAATAATATAATTAAATGCCATTTTTATTTAAAGCAAGACAAAGTCCGTGAAATAATATTGCTGCGCTTAATAGATATAATGTCGAAGATCAAACGTGCATGATCGTGACAGAATGACATTATGAATCTTCGTGAACGAACGAATTTTGTTTTATCACGCACACACCTCTAAATCAAACATATAGTACATGTACGTATGAAACAATGGCCGGGGCAGCAAACTTAATGACTTTCTGCCCTTGTTTATGGGCAGCTGCTGGGCGATAGTGTTTATAGACGGCAAACATACACACACACACACACAGAGAGTGTAAATGCACATACACACACGCACTAAAAATTAAAGCACGCACCAAATCGAGCCACGTAAAGAGCTGCGCTGAAATTTATGCAACGCTTCCTTGCGTGTTGTTGTTGTTTGGTTGTGCTTTTATTTTTGTTTTTGCTGCCGAACATGCTTTACGCCATTTTGGTGTTGTAGTTATTGTTGCAGCCACGGTTGACCAACGATAGGCAGCTAGGCAGCAAGGCAGCAAGGCAAGCAACGCCTGGCAGGTAGATAGGTAGGTCTATAAAGGAAACTTATTTATGCAATTTCGTTGCATTTTGGGCGTCCGCTTTTTGCATGCAACAGAGCTTCTGTTGTTGTTTTTTTTTGTTTTTTTTTTTTTGGTGCAACAGAATGTTGCCTACTTTAATGCGCTGCAGCCAAATGTGCGACGTGCACAGGAAGTCGAATGCAACCGGGTAAACGGCAGCGCCATCTGGCGGCCAGCCAGCTTGCCCAACATAGTGAGAGAATAGGAGTGAGAGAGAGAGAGAGAGAGAGAGGGTGCGCTGGCAGCTCAGTCTGGCCAGCAAATTGATAAGCGCGTTGTTGCTATCACTATGTTTGCACAATCTAATGGCATCAGGTAAGCAATGAAAAATGGCGTATTTACTTTTGTGCTTTTCACGTTGCTCCTGCCGGCTGCGCTGCGCTCCTGCGCTGGCTATCAATGCTGTTGTGGTGGTTCTGGTGCTGTAACTAACGTTTTAAGGGAAATAAACAACATTTGCCAAATTGAAAACGTAGCCGCATCGCACACTCACATAAAAACTGCAATCTACGCTTACGTTTTTGATGAAATATTACCAAATAACGTGATGCAGCACAATAAGCACCGAGCATGTCAACAAACTTCCAACTTGGAGAGAAGAGCTCACAAGCTTACAATCTCACAAGCATTGCAATTTGCACTTATTGTTCTTGTTGTTGTGGTTGTTATTGCTCCTGCTGGTCTTGTGAATTGGTTAGCATCGGCACACAACCACTGATAGCATGACTGACTGATAGTTTACAATATTGCGTATCTTATTCACACACACTTCTATCTCACTGGCTCTAGATATACAGCCGACAAAGCATTGTATTGAATTTTTAAACGAAAAAGACAACAAAAACAACATCTGCTTTCACTATAACAATGGAAAATGGAAAATGTTTACAGAAACGTTTTTGTTTTCAGGCAAATTCAAATACACAATTGTTTTTATACTCCATTTCCGTGCCGATCGTTCCGATTGCGATGAATTTCAGAATATAGCAAAATACTATAAAAAACTCGTAAGTACTAATTCTTTTTAGAATAAGTATGTTAATAAAAAAAATGGCATCATACTTGTATCATTGTTTAAAGTTAAAACAATGCATTTCACTTTTGTGACTTCTCCTATGATTGAATAATCAAAGAATTAATCATAGAATCAATCACAAGTGTGACACAATAATATATATACTATATAGCTTTTATTAATGAAACGCTAATAACTGTTAAGATTGAGGAATATCAGTATTCAGTTCTATATTTTTTAGCATGGACTTGAACTTTAGTTATTTAGATGAATCACAATCAAATCACAAAAACCAAGTTTCTTAGTCAGTTTAGTTAAATAATAAATAAAATTCAGCATATTTACACATAAATATGTACAAGAACGAAAGCACTTACCTCAATATTTTGATCCGTTTCCGGTGATTTAACTAGCACATATAATTGTACATCCAATGGAAAATCGTCAGCAAAATGAATTTTGTATTTGCCCTGTCCGTGAGCATGCTCAATAAATTCCACAGATAAATACTTTGTGTCAGATGGTATTACCTGTTGGATGAAAATTAATACTTACTATTAATATTTAACTTATTAGTGAAACTAAGAATGATTTGAGCCAACAAATTATTGAAATGTTTCCAGCTCTTTGCTTAACACAAATAACCTTTTATACGTATATTTAATTGTTAAAAATACTTGCAATTAAATAGCAGCAAAAATTCAGCACACACCCACTAATCATTAGACAGTTGTAAGCTAAGACATCATAAATATTACATAAATACTTTTAATTAAAATATAAGAAAATAAAACCTAATGATTACATTTATGTCACACACCTAGATACACTATTTCTCTGAAGTAATCACTTTAGCATCTTGATGTGAGATTTTCGTCAGCATTATTATTATTAATGCAGGTATTTTACAGTGCAGCTTCCATGAAGAAAGCTGCCGTTCAAATGTTTTGAATGGTAATAATTTCAAAAATTAATTTCTCGAATTCATTTCACGAATAGCAAAAATTAAAATCAATTTATTATTTCAACGGAAGTGTGCAGGGCAAAAGGGCGAAAGAGTCAGCTGCTGACGTCGACAAACAATATTTCATATTAATATGGAAACAAACTACATTCATACAATATGTATGGGGGAAAAAAAGTACAAAACATTTATACAATATATTAATAATCGAAGAGTTGGTACAGTTATGGCAGCAAACGGAAGTGTGGCACATCAACAATTGCAACAAAAACTGCTACAGCAGCCCATAATGAAATAACGCTCAATGAAATGAATATTAAATTATTCATTTAAAATTATGCGAACATTGCACATCTCGGGACTGACAGAAATAATACATAGTCGGCATGTGAAAAAAGCGGACGGATGAAACTATTCAACAGCATTTATTTCAAGTCACTTGTATATCACTTTTTATCACCGCGCATATAATATATTATTGAAGCTGTTTTTGCTCCGAAGCTTGGAATACCTGTCCACATACTACTACTAATAACAATAGTAATAAACAAAGTGCAAAGTTGTAGTTTCAAGCATTTACGAAGTAACAACATAAAATTTAAGAAAGGTTTTATATTCTTAAGGCTCTAAATATTATTTAACAAAATAATACAATCAGTTGACATATCTTAATTTTAACAAGGATATTACATATATGTATATCAGCTTATATACTCATTATTTCTCATCTTGTGAATATTTCAAATCATGTGTTTGGATAAAGACTGATTATAGAACCATTATCTGTTCAGTATTAGAAATGATACAAGGGCTGTCAAAGATATAGACAAGCTTCAACGTTCATTAAACAATTATTTTAAAATAATGTTCATTTATTGTTGACAAAAACTACTGGGGAAAAATAAATTAATATGTTAATCCTATTTTCACAATTTCATAAAATGCTGATAATGGTAGATTAGTCTCATCAAATGCACAGCAAAACCTCCCGCACATTGAGCTTATTTGTAAATTCACGTTTTTAAAAGTGGTATCAAACTGATTTGTTTTTAAGCTCTTGGCGGTTTACTTCATTCATTTCCGATTTTATCGCAATTTTTGGAACGGAGTCGTCGAACCCAAAATTACGCATAACTGTATGTGCTATATATTCTTTTTCCTCAATCTAATATAAAGAAACCACAGAAACCAAGTTACTGCATAAATAATAAAATCAAACAATTAATAAATTAACCTTAAATTTTAAAATGAAATTTAAATTTAAATATTTTAAATATCTTTCTAAAATTTGTGCTATTTTGCTTTGCAGAATACAGGATACTAGTGGATTCAACCTCGCAAACTGTGAATTGGCAAATTATTTGTAGATATGTAGATACATATGTGGGTCTTCACAAAGAAATGAAAACAACAAGCATACACATTACATGCATTTCTCTACAACGATGTGCAGCTTTTAATTATGAATTAATAACCAACAGCGTTCAACTATTTATAAATATGCACATGTGAAATATTTCAACATGCATGAATTAAATGCAGTTTAAAACATATTTATGCATTTAAAAACATATTTATTTGGTATTTAAAGTTCATTGAATTTATTAAAACACTCGTAAAATAGACAAACGGGCGTCATCATCCAAAAACTGACAGAAAATGAAAAGTTCTAAAATGCCTTGCAGCTGACTAAGCTGTGCCCATTGACGAATTAATGGAGCCATTTACGGATTACGTCAAACTAAGTCGGCTGCCACTTCACAGCAACCATAGCACAAAGTGTCGACTTTTTAAAAAGAGAAGTGAAAAGCGATTAACGCGACAATAAAACGCTCAATTACAGAAATAATAATATTGACTGCTGCAAGCTTGAAGTGACTGCAATTGTCGTTGAAAACAATAAGCAACTAAAACCAACAACAACAACAACAACAGCGAGGCACATCAAGAACATGTCGCCACCGTGTTTCCAGAGTCCAGCGTTCAATGTCCAAAGACCACTTGAGCTGTGACAGCAGACAAGCGCAGTCTTTAAGTACCAATATTGAAATGGCAATGTACTAAGTTCCAAGTTGGATGGCAGTCGCAATATAAGTGAATTGAGCATTCAATTGCCTGAACAAGTGCCTCTGATGCATTTCAGTTTCAGACACAAGTAGGTGAAGGTACACACATACTTGTAACTACATGCCACACTCATGAGTACTTTAAGAATAGTCGGACATATAAAAAGGACAAACAACTACTATAAATGAGATAGCGATCCTGCTCTCAAAGTGCTGGCAAGGAAGAGAATCACATTTCAGAAAAATAAAAAGTTTCCAAGTCTGCCTGAAACAACATCTCTTGCAAACTAAGCAAAGAGGGGAATGACAGGCAGTTTCCTGTCCTAGAGACTATGTCAATGCTGGGGAATCGAACCAGACTCGTAACAACTAACTAAAATAAATAAATTAAAATCCAAAACACAAGATAAATACGGTATAAAACCATAAAATATAACCAACAACTTTTGGTTAAATAAATACTATAGACGTACATATATTCAAAACGCCGATTGGTAGCAAAAATTGTTTGAAACACAAAATAAAAACGTATCAGAACCGGAAATGAAATGCTATTCGGTTTTATTTCATGATAAAAACAGAAGAAGAACTTTGCAAATAAATAGAACATGAGTTGATAATCTCATCGAACCATCGAACCATCATTAACATATATACATAGGTACATATGCACGAATTTGTTTTCTCCTCCCACTTACAAATACCGGCTCTGAAGACTTGTCTGTATTTCATATTCCGCAGGGCCTTGAGCAGGAAGGAGGACAGTTTAACAGACTTTAAGAATATTGGTGATAATGGAGTAGGTTAGAATTATGCTTAAACAATATTTTGTGTTCAGTTTGAATTTTTCATAAAATTACACGTTGAATTGAAAAAATATTAATACACTGAAGATATGTGACTTAAAGTTCTCAAAACTTGTGCTGGCCATTTAAATTGGCAGCTGTAGGATGCCACATAAATGCCAGACAGCTATTTGTGACCAAATTGTACAAAGTGCGTAAAAATTCTGAGCAATTTTTCAAACGGTTCACTTAACTGCAATTAGAGTTGTAGAAAACGCAGCTAATAATTCAGACAAGGGGACCATAATGTCAGGGAGTACAGCAACAAAAGCAAAAATTGCTGCTCCTGCTGCAGCAAACTAAACCTCAGGCTAGCCGGAAATGGAAGTCAAGCAAAATGCTGTCATTTTACATTTTTCAAAATGCCAAGACGGCGCGTCTTCTTGTCTTCTTATCTCACTAGCCAGCCAGGGGAAGTAGGTAGCAGCAGCGACAGGGAGGCCACTTAGCCCACTTCCATTACCACATTGCAGGAACAGCCAACAGCTGCAACAGCAACATTGACATTGCAACTGCTGCAGAGCGTGAAGCAGTTGTTGCGAATGTAGACCAGCTACTTGCGGCAGCGCTTGCGGCTGCGGCATCTACAACAAAAATAGTTCGGTCGCTGACAGGCTGGTCGGTTGGCTGGAGGGGTGGCAAGACCAGCAGCCTGCAGGAACTTATACGCGTTCGAGTATTCATAGAATACTGGCTGGCAGCAATCGCAACAGCACTTGCACTCGCACTCAACATCCTTGTTGTACGTACATAATATTGTACTTTGCCAAAGCCACTCGCAGCTACATCTTAGGATGAAACAGCAGCGAACATTGTAAAGCAATTTCCTGTATTTCATTGCCACACATAAGTGTACAGAGACCAATATATTTCTAGTAGTTCATATACTCGTAGCAAGTGAGCGTCCGGCATTGTTCCCTATGATTATTCCTACTAGAGAAATGACAATAAATAAGAATCGAATGCAACTTAAGTGTAGTTCAAAAGATGACTTTAAATTAAAACTTGCGCAAATGCAGCAAATGTTATATGAAGCGTGGCCAAACGAAAAAGTTGCGCCATAAAACTTTTCCATAGCAATCAATCTTTGAATGGACAGGCGCCAAAAGTTTGCCACTGACCATCGCAGTAGTATAATGTCGTCCCTAGAGATTTTCTTAGACAACAACAAGAAAACAAAGTGCTCAAACATTGTATGCGCGAGGCTTGAAAAATATCAAAACGATATGTATGTACATAACCATATGTTTGTAGTTGGGATAAGAAGTTTTAAGAAACTCTTTGGGAAACTTATTCCCAAACTTGCCGACTTATCGAGTAGAGTTATTTGTAGTTCTTAAAACCAGCAACGTTACACTTTTAAGTAATTAAGCTAGGTATTATTTTTCAAAGTATTGATATAAATAAATATAAGACACAACCTCATATTGTAGTTTGGAATTACATACATTATTTGATACTGGTAAATAGTTTGAAAAGAAAAGAATATTACGACTAAATAGTCTGGTAATATCTAAATTATTTGTATATACATACTAGTAATAGTTCGTATCCTCTTCAGCATTTTAACGTTAATGCAAACAACCGGAATGTGTAATGCCAAAGGCCGTTCAGCATCCAATTTGTTACTGAACTTTCAGCTTCCTTTTTCTAGATGATGTTATCCTAGTTATATAACCAGGCACATTTTATTAGTTGTTATTTTGACGCGTAGCTCTATAGCTATTGCAATGCAAAATGTGTTCAGCTTTTTAATAAATAGTGTAGAAAAGTCCAGCAGCTATTTCAAACTAACATTTCGAACATAAACTATGGCCTCTTCTTACCCCACAGGCAACACGAATTTATCAAACCCGCTTTTTAAGAATTTAATTAAAGCACGCGCACGAAAGTATTTCAAAATTTGATACCGACTTTAAAGGACGTTCTAACTTAACATCAAACCAAATAAGAAACACAATTAAAAATACTCTTTTCTAATATAAAGAGAATTCAGAATTAATTTGTATAGGCTCAAGAATACTTGTATGTATGTAAAAGCTTTTTGGTAAACTCACCTGCAACTTTTGCAGCACTTTGTCCAGTCCGCTGATGAGTAAATCCTGTGATTTCAAATCACCCATTTGTAGCGCTTCAGGGGAAACTTGAATGCCGGGTACCAATTTCAAAGACATCGTATCGAACACACCGGTGGGTATTAAAGCCTGCAATTAGTCCACAATTCAACGGCAATCAGACGACAATATTATAACAAAGTGTATTCTGTTGAACTCAATTAATGTTGTTGTTGCTGTCGCACACACCAACCCCCCACACCCAAAATCCACATACACACATACCTGTATCTCCAAAAGGACATTGTTTGTCTTGACAATGGAGAGCAACTCATTGAAATTCGAAAGCAATTGCAGCTCGCAAGCATACTGACTGTTTAAGCCATCAAATATGGCTTTGACTTTGTAAAGCGACAGCAGTTTCCGACCGAGGGCGTCATTGGCCACAAGACGACACGTGAACGCATCAACGTGCACATTGTCCAAATGATTTATGCATCTGGATACGTTCTGTGCAATCTGCAGGGACGAACAAAATTTACATTGGGTAAGTCTGCCAGGATGCCAGTCGAGTTAACATAATGCTGAACTTACCAAATTTGTGTGCTTGTCTGTTTGAATGTGATTGCGCAGCACCAAATGCGCTCGATATTCCGAGCCGCTAAATATGTCAAGCGTTTTGGCAAACAAAATCTGAAAGGGAACGCAAAAATAATTTCAGTTATGGCTACGCCAATTGCGACCACAGGCCGCCGCTCGTCGCTCGTCGCTCGCCACCCGCCACTCTCCACTTACCGCATCCGATTCGCGTACTTCCAAATCATATTTGAGGTAACCGCCGAGTCCCACTTTATCGCCGCTGGTGACCACGATTTTCTCGCCCAATTTGTGCCGATGCTTCAGTACGCGTGCAATGCCTGCAAATTTGTAGACAAGGGAAACAAATTCAAAACGAAATTCATTGAACGCATATCAACATTTCAGATCAATTAAAAGGGCAACTCAATGGCAACACAACACAGCGCAGCGAAGCAAACAAACGGGCAAACAAAAATCAACTACTATTATATGGACTCTTTACAATTTGTTCAGCAAAAATTTGGCTTCAGTAAACTTACTGCAACTTGAACTACTTGAGGCCTACACTCACAGTTCAATTAACTTTTGATTTCAACGCCGTCTTTTGTGTGCGTTTAATTGGTGCGATTCGTTTTGCGAGTGCACACAAGTATGTAGCATTCCGGTAAATTAAGCCAAAACACTCGAGGGATACTCCTCAAAGCCAAATCTCAATGGGTGCGTATTCGTACAATGTGTACGAGTATGACCAAAAATATTCAACATGCGTCGCCATCTTCATCGTCGTCTTTGCGCGTGGCCAAACATTGATATTAATATTTGATGGCATTAAATATGCTTCAATGATTTTTTACCTTTGCTGCCGTGGCATGTCACATTGAATAGTAAATTACTTGGCATTGGGAACCCAGCAGCCAATGGACCAGCTTAGCTCCATCGAAGCATAAATGCTGCTCCAAATTTACTTTAAAGTGCACACAGCTGTCCAAGTCTGTTCAACTAAACTGTCTGTCGCATTAATCTTAGCATTAGCATCAGACGAGGCAGCATGCTAATGGACATTCTAAAAGGAATTTATTTTTACCGCATTGGACCAAATCAGAAATTTGTATTTTGTATTTCCATTAAAGGGAAATACTAGTATAAAAATACATTTTATTGCCTGTGCTGCACATTTTAAATTGTTCTAGCTATTAGTCATCTATTAATAGGTAGGTATCCATCAAAATATTGTGAAATTTTCCACTTTAAACTATCGACCTTTGAACAAATTCAATGTCATATGAGTGCAGTATTACATTTCGCATTTTAAAAGAAATCTGTGGTTGAGGCTGGTTATTGAAACTTATGATGAATTTTCAATAGGATAGAGAATATGCTCTCCTAGGACTTGCTAGTGGCTGCTGAAACCATTACAACAGGAGTTTTCTGCCGATGACGATGCAATTCAAGCAAAAAGAACGGTATAAAAGAAAAGGTACGACTTGTCATTTTCCAGCATCACAACGCTCGGACGCATGTTGACTGTCATGTCGAACTATCTTCGGAATGCCATCTCATCTGACTATCGCCCTATTTCATACTCCTCTTTTTGAACAGTACTCTTCACGTTTGAAAAGATCAAGCTATCATTTTTGTCGGACTATCATATTATCGAACTATAAGTCTTTGAACTATCATCCTTTCGGAGTATCATATTTTCGGGCTATCATCTTTTTTTGCTATTAATATTACGAGGACTATAATTTATTATTTAACTCAACAAATATTTAAAATTAAGCAAAAAATACGACCTTTTATAAGTACGTTGAGATCAAAGTTGAAAATACAAAATCTATGTTCTAGTTACAAATCTGTCAAGGCTTTGGAATTCCAATTCACTTAAGCTGTCAACTTTTCAGCTACAACTGTGTAAGATTTCAAGTTTTTAAGTCAGTAAATTAATTATGCTAAAAAAAAAACGAGCACTGACACTTTTGGGTATTAAGGTAAGCTGGACTTTTCAAGTAGTGCTGACAATAGAATTGTATTCTTACAATATATAAATACATATACTATTCAATTGAATGTGTAATTGAAAGCACAGCAGCAAATATCAATGCAGCCAACTGCCCTGGGAGTTTTGTTTTGTCCAGCAATGAAAATGGCACAAAATAACTTTGATTTTCCAGCTTTGCTTTTGCTAACAAAAACAACACACACACACACACACACAAAGAGAGAGGGAGGTAACTGCGTATAACTAATCCAAAGGCGTGAACGACATGGTTCACTAAATTGCTTTGGGATCTCTGAGTAGGAAACTGCCTTGAGTTATAGAAATAGAAATGCATAGCAAATGAAAAATAATATACACTTTTCTGACACATAGAACTTTAAGGAATTTATTTTCTTAAAGAGTTGCCTTAAAGTTTTGCCATTCAATTAAAATGAGGGTTTCAAGTTTTCTACATGTTGACAATTTTAAGCAGCCGGTAAGTAAACACAAATATAACTTATTCAATACGTAAACACAGAGGGCTTTCTGCCTAAAACAATAAAGCGACTGTAGGCTGTGGGTACATACTCGTATTTATAAACACTGTGTATTCAAAAACACACCCACACACAAACCAATTCCTATATTCGCGTGTGTGTGTGTGTGTGTGTGTGCAATCGTAAGTGGATGTTGTTTTGATTTGCCTATTTTTACTAGAGATTTTCATGTGTAATATGACATTGTATAAGTATATATACTTGTATAAATACAAGTATCAAATCAATATAAATGTCATTTCATATCTCATCACAAATGCTTGTAGGCCAACAAATACAGTTTATGTATAAAATATGTTCACTTTCCCAACTGCGACTGCACAAAAAATATTTTACTCAATAACAGTATACTTTTTACGTTGCCATACTAGTAACCAGTTTAAAGAAAGTTAATTAAACATTGTGATGTGACATTTTTAAAATACTATCCTAACTCCGTTCGATTCAAGCTGACATTTGAAAACAAAATAAGATCTTGTTCTGATTACAGCTTGAACCGATCTAGATGCCACTATAATGTGAAAATTTTATTTCAAACCAAATGTTAGAAATATAGTAAATGTAAATATGTAAATTTACGAATTTACGGCCAGACGATATGGCTAGAGAATCAAAGCAATATAGAATACAAGTATATCATAATCATTGTGTTTTCTATTGTTCTAATTAATATCTTTTCATAGTTTCTTGCTATACCAACCATCTTTTGTGTCGACTTGGCAAAATCAACTCTTATAATAGAACGGTTTTGTGTGTAAATAATTTGTGCGTGTCTGACCATAGCTTTAAATTTGAGAGATTTCCATCCAGGCGGGTACCTCTGATACAAGTATGTTGAATCTGCGAAGTTTTCTTCCGCCTTTCACATACACTCATACACACACACATTGGTTTCGTAGCCAAAAAAAAAAAAAAGGCAACAGAATTGCTGGCTGTCTTTATCCATTGCCTCCCCCCTCTTTTCAGTTATTGGCACACACGTCGCATATTGATGTTTGGAAATACGTTTTCTTTTTCGCCAGATACTTCATCTTTATGCTCGAGCAATGACAACAAGAACGATGACAGTGGCGGCAAGAAAGTACAAAGTCCTATAATCGCTCAGCAACAGAGCCCCTTCATCTTATACACATACATACGTATGTATGTATGTATGTATATAGTGTGTGTATTCTTATGTATCTCTGAATATGAGCACGTAAATGTCGCTTGTCTGCACGTCTATTTTATTTGCGTTTTCTTTTCGCTAGCGACGTGAAAAGTGTGAAAAATTGTTTCTACTCACAATTGAGTTCGGAAGGTAATTTTATGAATAATGCATTGTGCGGTTGGCCACGTTAGTGTCGCGTAAGTCTATATATGCGAGTATGTGTGTACATACATGTATATCTATGTGTGTGCGTGTGTGTTTTATTCATCCACATAGGTATGCAATGAAAAGTGCACTTGTTAGGAGCAAATCTACATTTATAAAGCGCTCCAAAATATATTTGTTTGCTCTAACCAATGCACAATTGCCAATTGAAAAGTTGGAAAATGTTATCAAAAATTGAAAACAGTTCTAACATCCGCCCCTCCGCACTATACTATAATCAAATAGGCAAAATTAAAGCGAGCTAATTAATGCAAAATTATTGGCGAGTGTGGCAACTGTGAAAGTTTTTATTGTCTGTTTGTTTGTAACTATTATTGTTGTTATATTTCGGTTGTTGTAAATGCAACTGAAAATAGACCTAATTGTGTTATCAACAAATCGGGCATACGCATCTATATTAACGCATACACACACACAAATTTATTTACACACGATTTAAATGCGCGAATTTGTAAACAAACCAAACTGTCAACATTTGAGATAGTACGGCAGAGTAAGTGGGGCGGGAAGGGTGTAATGGACATTCCGAAACAGCACACATCAAATTTGCATTGAATTGCTTTTGGGGCTCCCAAACAGAAAATCATAGCATTGGAAATAGTTAGAGCATAAAATTAGCGCTATTCATTGATTATTTATAAAAAGCAAAAATCTATGCAAATTAAATGAGATTAAAATCGATAAGGCACAATACGAGCATATAGTGGTTGAGAGGTATACCAAACGTGCAACGTTGCTGCAACCTACTCACCTGTATTTTTATTAATCGCCACAATCTGCTCATTGGAGCTCGTCCAAATCGATGACAATGTTAGCGGTGAATCGAAGCAAATAATGTCACCAACAGAGAAAATCGTCTGTGGGTTCGTTCAGTAATGCGCGTTCGTATTGCATCTCAATAGCAGTTGCAGGGGTGCCGGATGCACAACCGGTCGTGCCGAGATAGGCAGGGGAGGGTGCAGGATGGTTGGCGGGATACGCGTTTGTGTGCGTTTCCGTTTGGCAAATGACAAATCCGTTCGGGCAGCATGAAGTCACAATTGACGCAGGTTTGCATGTTAACAGTCATATGGATTAGATGGTGGAAAGGTAGAAAATATGAAAAGAAAAGAAAGGTACACAATTGATTTATGAGTAAGGACATTATCTCTGGCACGCACACACAAAAAGTTTGCAATTGTACTCTTCCTTAAAGAAAAACGGTCTGATTTTTTAAAAAATAAAAATTTGCCAATAATATTATTGAAACTGTCAATCCAGGCACACATTTTTGCCAACACACTGCTTAATTCAGATTGGACAATTTTTTGATGGTTGCTTTTAATAAAGATTTAAATTTGGTTTAATCTTTAAACCACTTCGCACGCTCAACCACTGGCCATAGATAGCCTAATTAGTAAGAAAATGTTTGTGTTTTGCATGGCATTTATATTTAATTTTATAAACTGCGAAGTTAATCTGCATATTAAAGATTCGCCTAAAGCATCAATTCATTTATATTCAAGATTCCTTTACACTTTCAGTCAATTCACGCATTTTAATAATATATTTTAGCGCAAAAACAGTTGGCAGACAAGCTAACAGCTGTTCGCCTAATTGATAATTTAGCAACTGTTTTTCTTTTCTTTGTAATTTTTTGCGCTCGTAAAATTGGCTGATTAAGGTTTAATAATTAAACGGTTACGCAGCTAATTAGCTTTTGTTGAGAACCTCACATTCTTCGTGTAAGAAACGAAACCTAATCGGAATACTTTTGGAGAGCTCAGAGAATTTTTAATAGGCATCAGACCCACCACACATTAAGAAACGTTTATATGCAATGTGAGGATGCCGGATGCCCGATGGCATATGAACATTAAGACATAAACCTAAATTCAAGCAAACGTGCCTCAATAAATCTCATCAGATTGCATTAAATGTGCGACAACAAGCTGAAGTAACAGCGTCTGCCTCGGCAGCAGCAGCAACACCCAACCAAGCTACATGCATCAACAACATTTTGTGGCAAAGGCATAGCCGCAAGCTGCTACAAGTGGACTGCTACCAGGACAATGTCGGAGTCGAGCAGGGGCTGCACCTACATGCCAGCTTTCTGGGCACAACTTGAGGATTATACAAAATGAATACAAAATAATAGACAACAAGGTATATGACAGCTAGGCACTCACATCCTAGCTACACATAGTACAAGTATGTGTGCATGTGTAGTTGCACACCTGTTTGTACATATCTGTGTGTGTACGAATATATACTTGATATTTACTGCTTGTTTTGTGGCCAGACAAATGACGGCACACTCTGCAGGCAACTTGCCACTCACCTTGGTAGGGAAAATATGCTCCGACTCAGCCACCGACAGTTTGATGTAATCCTCAGCATGTTTCACTCCGGTTATATCCTTCAGACTTATGGCGATCATATTGTTTGTCTCACGTGGCATATTTAGCTGTGAACGAAATTAATTTAGCAGATCAATTATAGAAAATTAACAAGTACAATGTATATTATTTACTTAAAAGTTAATCCGCAAAGATTTCAAATATAAATATATATTGCTATACATACAATTTCTTGCACAGCCAAAGATAATATTAAGCTCGTTTGAGGATCAATGTGAGCAAACAGTACAAAGTAAAAACGGACATCCATTGATTTCTATTTAAACACCAAATTTAATAAGCTATTGGTGATTCAGTTCAGTGATTTACATGAGAAGCGCAAAGGATGTCTATGTTTTAAAATAATGGTTAAACATATAATATTTCTCTGTTCTCTTACTTCTTATATTTGCCATCGATCAAAATTGATTTAAGATAAAAATAAGATGTTTTTTTAAAATATAAAACGAATATATATTCAAAATAACACATGGATAAGATATAAAGATATAAAGTTAAAATTAATTTTAACAGATTGAAACGGGCTCAAACAGAACGGATTTTGTTCTAAAATCACGTCCTCAAGGGATATACTCGAATTAGAATTTATTCGGACCATATGCTACTATATATATTTATCTTGTGCTGTTATGCTTGACAGACTTTTTTCGGAGCTTTGCGGCTTGCGGTTACTTTGCACCGATTTTAAAAAGTTCACAAAAAGCAAGCACAAAAAGAAAGCAGCACAAGAACTAGGCTTCGTCGCATTTTTGTTGCAAAAACGTGGGCACCTGGGTGCTCTGCTCAGACGAAACATGCCACAATGCTGCGCAAATCGGATGCTACACAGAAATAATAAAATATTAAAAAATAAAAAGAAACGTTGACCAAACAACGAAGAGCAAGGCGCTAGACACATTTTTTTCTGTCGCCAAGAGCGAAGTTGTGGCCTTTTGTTAAATATATATGCACATATTATATGTATGTATATATGTGTTTATGTACTTATAGTAGTATGTCAGCCGCATGAACGGAGCTTGCATTAAAATGCAGCACCTGGCCAAGAGCTAAACAGCTGAGGTTTTGTTCGGCAGCAAATATGAAATTGAAATAAGTTGCCACTTTCAGCAAACAATGGAAAGGAGGAGTTGGGCTTTAGATTTACATTTTGGCAAAATGTAACTAAGTACTTATAGCATAGCTAAGTAACTTGAAACTTTCAGCCCAATGTGTTCTTAGCCAACTTTTAGCAACTTTCAAACACCCACACACACACACCTTTCCCGCGCTCACTGTCTTCAAGAAGAATAAATAGATAAGATAAAAGTTTAGCTTTGGCCAATGTCTGACAAAAGCCTGTTGGACTTACCGCTATCGTTAGGTTATTGCCAATCTGCACATCGACCACATCCTTGGTGGCCAGATCGTAGCGCAGCCCATTCACCTCCTCGATGTTGTGCGAGAACTCATTGCCGAGATTGTCGTGGAGCGAGACTTTAAATACAAAATTCATGCCACGCGGAATTTTATGCTCCAAATGTTTCAATTTGATGTTCGGCAGCAATGTGACCAAAATATATTGTACATTCTTCACTTCGATGCCAATGGGCAGCGTTTGGTCGACAGTTTTGGCCTAGATAAGGAAAAATTCAATTTCAGACTAAAAACTAAGCGCCTTTCCACACACACATCCCACACACAAAAGTAGGGGAATCGGTTGAGAGGTACTTACAATTATCAGATCACGGCCAAGCGTATCCTTTGTGTGGACAATGCCATCTGGCGTGACGCTAACAATGCCGCTGCTTTGCGAGTCCAACTTATAGAGAGCATCGTCCATATTACATTTTAATTGCAGTGTGCTGCGTGGCGCGGTCAAAATCCAGTCCATTGTTATGGGCTTAGGCGCGACCAGCTCGAGAGTTTTGAAAACTGCACCAAACCATGTTAAAAGATAACAAATTCAATTTGAGGTTTCCTACCACCTTGTTTGTTGTCGTTATTTCGGCTGGCCATGAGCCACTTACCAATTAAGTCAACGGTCGAACTCAGTTTCTGGCCATCGGCTAAACGGGCAACGGCTGTAATGCTGACCTTGCCGGGATTCAAGGCACGCACGCGAATCGAAATCATGTCATTGCTCTTGTAGTCGATGCCTGAGGGAGTTCAAGAGTGTGAGACTTATTAATTAAAAGTACATGCAAATGAAAAACGTTGGTTTTATATAAATTATACATATACAAAATATTATATTGCTTGTTTGTCGAGACTAGTCCGTTATTTTGTTAAAGCTCCAAAGCTGTTGTAATTTTGGGAACTTATTACCCAATGTAAGTGATTATGGTTTAACATGGAAAGTTTAATCGTGGTAGGCCAACTCTATAAGGAAGTTATTGCTAAGTCGGCCAATCGTTCCTATCGCAGCTATATCCACTAGACAGTAGTACGATACGGATTTGACTGTAAAAAGCTATATTAATGGCTAACTGAATATTAGGAATATAGGATATTAAACTTCCTCTTTACAATTTCACTACAAAATACAACGAGTGAGATCTGTATGTTCCGTATCTGTTCCTACCATGAGACTCAACCGGGCAGGCTCATCGAAGAACATATCTTTGTTTGTTCTTTGTGCACTTGGTGGGCATTGATCTGAGCTCTATGACACAATGCGGTATCTGTGCACGATAGAATGAAAAATATATAAAGAATATACACGTACCTGCTGTTGTTAATACATTGAAGATCTCAACCACATCATTTTGGTTAGCACTCCATGTAATGTGCATATTCTCCAGGGTTCCCAGGACCATGGGCGACAAGTCTGGCTGGCCCCATAATGTGGCTGGCATGACGGCACCACTGCGAATTCGCACCAGGGGTGTGCGTATTTCCACAGCTGTTAGAGATACAACACGCAACTCCACAGTGTCCTCGGAAACGATCTCATCCTTGCCAGTAACAGGATTTTTGAGCAGACACTTGCCCGTGATTTTCGTAGAGCCCAGCTTGTGCGCCGTAACAATTGCGGAATTCATGGCTGTGAAATAAAAAGAGTAACATTAGATATTAATTTACTTAGGTTTTCAAACAATGGGTTTTCGCAAAAAGAAACGCATATCTTTTCCATATCTTTATAAATATGTTCTCCGCTTAGACAAACAAACATCCCCTATAAATAATAAAAAAAAGATACAATCCATACTCACTTGCCACTTTGTTATGATGCACACTATAGATCATATTGGTGTTTGGTTGTGGTCCACCCTGGTAATAGATTTGTATGCTGGAGCCGACAATGAGCGTCGAATTGCGTGGATACAGGCGTATAGGTGCAAATACTTGTACATTAAGGGGATCACTGGAGACTTGCTTGTCTCCCTTGCCGGCCTGAAATACAATCTTTGTGTCGCCAACATTATTGCCCGTTATGCTGTAGCGAATTTCGCCCGGCCCAAGGTTTTGCTGCTCGTCCAGTCGAACACTCAGAATGTTCGAATCGAATACCAATTCGCTCAACTCATACACATCCAGCTTGCTCACATCGATGTGCAGCAAATTGTCATTCGAATCGTAAAGTTTGACAATAGCATCAATAGAATGGGTGCGCTCCACACGATCGAGGGCCAACACATTGATGGCGCCTATGCCAACAACTGAGATGGAAAGATGAGCGGGTTCGTTCATCAGACAGCGATCGATCAGCTCCAGACGAACGTGCCCCAAACGAAGTGGGGTCAACAGCAACTGTTTGGTCTTCTCATCGTAGTCCACCTGCACAATGCCCGACTCGGACAGCTCCAATTGAAAGAATCCACTGCCCTGGGCTATAGATATACCCTCCCGATATGAGGGTGCCAAGTAGATGCTGACATGATCATTCGGCAAAAGCGTGCTGTTAACCGTATGGAAACGTATTTCGTTCTCAATGACTGGCTTTGTAATCACACCCGTTTTATGCTGCAATGAATGTTATGGAAATTATTGGTATTATATTATTTTAAGAAAGAAAACTTACGTTTTTAACGCCAAAGGGTGGTCTCTCAGGGTATATTTCGTTTTTGGCTAACGCTTTGTCATCGTATCGGGCAACAGTACCCTTAATGCGAAAGTTTGGCGCCACTTCGTTGAGTGTTATCACAAGAATATCACGAGCCGGCAATCTGACTGTCTGATAGTTCTCCTCTTCAGTGTGCTGTTGATGCGGAATGCTGTCTGTGTGATAGCGCTCGTCTCCAGCTGCAAATTCCCACTCCAGAACGAGGGAACTTATGTTCATGAGCTTGCGATTCTTAACGTCCTGCACTTCGATCTCTATCTCAAACTTGTCCTCGCGATCCTTGAGGTAGAGCAACGACGAGCGCTGCTCCAAAGGACATGACTTGCGCAGCTCCTGCCTGGCATAAAGCTTCAGGAAGCGTGGTCGCACACAATGCACCTTTGTCGTAATCTGAGCATTGTATGCGGCAAAGTTCGATTTGGTCAGCATGTTGTGGACGTTGTATGTGAAATCTGTGCTGCCAACTTCACGACACAGCACTGTAAAAGCGGTAATGGAATTCTGAGTATCAAATTCGATTTCCGACACTTTAATAAACTGAGCATTGTATTTGGTGGCCTTGGTCAGTGTCGCCTCCAGGGTGAAAATGCGCTGCGGTCCGTCGGCGTAAATTACATTGCGAGAAGCACCAATGGGCAGCACAATCTCATTTTCTAGGGGATTCAGCACACTTAATGGCTCGAAGACGTGCAGGTCGACCGAGTCCTGCAGCACCTTATCCTGGAAGGTATACGAGATACGCAGAGATGTGGTGCCCACAGCGGTGGCGCGCAGACGGAGCACGTGGCAAGCATCTGGAGCCAGCTTTTCTCCCTCTACATTGTTCTCCAGTTGAAAGATTTGATGTGCATAGTCCAGTTGGTACAGCAAGTTGTCGCACTTCGTGTAAGGGACATAGCTATTGTTCACATAAGCATAGATGCCTACATGCAGATGCACGTAATCCCTAAGAACTGTCTCAAAGTTGTACTGTTTGATTTCGAGTCGTTCCGGTGGCAGGAAATATATTTGTGCCATTTGTGCAACCTTCTGGTTTTTAGCCAACGCCACCTTGACAGTGGTGTGTGATGATAGCAGACTACCCGAGTCTAACAGCTCTTTAGCCGCTCCTTTTACTCGATCATCGCGTATTTCGGTAGTAGCCAAGCCTTTGCTATCAATTTGCAACACTTGGGGGTTACCGGAAAACCACACGTAGTTGCCATCGCCGCCTGTTGACACAAATTGCAGCCTCTGTGGTTTTACTGTATTGGGGTCATATGGCAATATAACTTTCATTGGCTGCAGCACCAATTTGTCGAAAATTTGCAACTCCGCTTGCGCCGAAAGCTGTAAACGATATGCATTCGCAATTACACATATAAATTAAAATAAATGGTATTTACTCACATCCTTGTACGTGCCATAGACCTGTGTCACACCAGCCTTGTACGCCTCGCCAAACAATCGACTGCCATTGCGCGTCTTTTTCAATATGGTGAAAAGAGATTCATCCAGTTCCGAGCCAATGGAGTAGCGCGTGCCCAGTGTTATCTTCTGCCCGTCGGACGCATACAAATCGAAGGCAACGTCATGTCGCTCGCCCTTAACCGTCAACCAGTTGTTGTGTGGCAGCAGACTGATGCCCAGTTTTTGCGGTTCGGCCACAGTTAGCTGTGCGCTCGGACCTTTTGGCTTTTCCGGCAAGTTGTCACTGTCGTCTCGCGGCACATTGCGGTCCCGCAACACCACAAGCGTGCGACCAAGACGCGAACCTGTGGCGCTACTGCCTTTTATGTACGCCACATTGATGTCCTCCACCTCAAAATAGTACTGATCATTCGGGGTGATGTCGTGCAGCTTTCCCATTTTCAATTGTAGAATGCGAAAGCTGACAGTATCGCCAGTCATGATATGCACCTCGGATGGCTCAATGATAATGTTGGCCAGCACACTGATGTACACTTCAATGGGCGCCACATTGTTATACTCTGGCTGTGGCATGGTTACAGTAACCTTGGATGTGCCCGTGTTGATGCCCTCGAGTAGTGTCATGTAACCCATAATACCCTCGGCTTCGAACTTCTCTAACGGCTTAGGTACGGTGTGAAACGGGCTATCCGAGAATGTCAAAAATCGCAGTGCCGGCGGCACGCTTCTGGTTGGTGACGAGATAGTCCATTTAAATTCGACGCCCTCCAGCGTAGAGAACTCGTTGCCTTGAGAGTCGAACGCGTGCAGCTCATATGTCTCGGGCGCCTCCTCTAGGTACAACTGCCGTGTCGTAGTCCGCACATTTAGCTTGTCAATCACATCAACAATCACATCACAACGCAGCGTGGCGCCCGTCGACACCTCCTCGGCAAATATAATGGCCGTGTTGCGGCGTTGCTCCCGCGTCTGTACTGTGATGAGGGCTTGGTACGCACACTCACTGAAGCCATGGTATACAGGAGCAACTGTAATTAAATCCTGCCTCGAAGAAGTCCTACAAAATACAGAAATTATATGTTAAGGTCATGCTTTTAGGTTAGAAAAAGAAATAGCCGGCAAAAAAGTGACGCACCATTTGAAACAATTATGTTCGACCACTTCCAGTGTAAAATTCACAGATTTGTCCTGAAATATTGGTAGCAGGACGCGCGGGAAATTGAGTTTCGCCGCATGTACTATATTTACTGCCACAATAAGCAATAAAAACAAGTTAAACGCAGCGGTTCGCATTTTGATCAAAGTCTTCCCGCGAAATGTGTTTACTTCATAGAGGTGAGCAAATTGTAACTATTTGTATATTTGGCACGAGTATTTCGCAATAAGATGCAATCCATGTAGTGACGAAACGATGACAGTGACGTCAATGATGACTTAATCTTGATTTAGTTATTTTAGCCAATGAACACTAAGAACTGATTGTTTTTATTAAGACATACATAATTGAAATTGAAGTAAAACAGCAATATTCGTTTCATTTTTGAATAACATCACCTCTAACAATACACTTCCAAACAGTGTGTACATAGCACGCACAATTTAAATTACACATAGTGGGCAATACTGTATTTAACGTCTTTTTATAACATATGATTTATTTTGAATTTATTTTTATCCCATCACCAAAAATTTTTGTTTTATATCTTTGCCATTGGCCCCTCATTATCCAAAAATACATCGGTTAACAGCAAATGCATATTTTCCGGTACACAGGCATATTTTCCAAAATCCTTGACACCAACATCGAGCAATATTTCATCATCAATGAAAAAATTGCCTGTATAATCTCTTGCATCGCGAGTAAGGATCGCATAGGCGGCATCTGCCATTATCTCCGGTTTCCGTGCATATTGAGCTCCAATGTCTCCATGCAACATCTCAACAGCTGCCGTGTGAATTATGGTGCGAGGCCACAGAGCATTGACGGCCACACCCTCTGATCGAAACTCCTCAGCCATACCTAAAACACACATAGACATACCATATTTGGCAATGGTGTAGGCTGTGTGATTAGCAAACCATTTCGGATTCATGTTGAGTGGCGGCGATAGGTTCAATATATGCGGATTATCGCTCTTCAACAGATACGGCAAGCAGGTCTTCGATCTAATGTAGTAAAAAACTTGAATACGGCGTTGTATAAATGGATATTTGAATGATCTACTCACACCAGGAAAGTGCCGCGCGTATTTATATTTTGCATTAAATCATAGCGCTTCATATCTGTATCAAGCGTAGGTGTAATTGATATAGCGCTGGCATTGTTGATCACAATATCGATGCCACCAAATTTTGCAACTGCCGCATCAACGGCCTGTTGGATTTGCTGTTCATTGCGCACATCCACGATGCATGGCAACGCTTTCCCACCAGCCCTTACAACTGCAAAAAAAAGATACTGAGCAGTTCAAAGTGCAAATTCCAGTAAATACTTACTCTCCTCTGCTGCTGTATAGATTGTTCCAGGCAACTTAGGATGTGGTTCTGCTGTTTTGGCCGCAATTACTATGTTGGCACCATCCTTGGCTGCCTTCAGTGCAATTGCCTTTCCAATGCCTCGAGATGCTCCCGTGATAAACAAAGTTTTACCCCTAAGCTTACTGTGGATTCGGAATGTTATACGCTGGCCTTTATCAGCTTGGCTATTCTTACCCGTTGTTCTTCATTGCCGTTTCTATTACCACACAGGTCTCGCAATCAACTGAGCAACATATAGATCAAATCAAAATATTGCCTCTGCCAATCCTTATCAGCCATAAACAACAGAAAACACAAACAGCTGTAGGTTTCAGTGTGTACACAATAAATAAATAACGCGATACATGCAGCACTTTAGTAGGGCGCTGAGTTTCAAAAATGCCAGCAAGGGTAAGACTAATTTATATTTATAAGCAATTCAATTCACTGGTAAGCAATCCAATTCACTTCTAAAGTAATTAAATAATAATAGGCGTTGATTACATCTTCTCAAATGTTTCGGTGTACGGACAACTGACACAAGCATGCGTGTAGTTGTCCTCCTCTTCATTGTAGGTCTCCGGGCCAAATTCGTGTACGTGCAACTCAGTTGTCTTCTTAGTGTAGACGCTGCTCCTAACCTCCATGCGCAGCTGCTTCATTTGCTTATTATATTTGCGCGCCTTCCCCACCTCGCGCTTATCTTCACGCGACTCATGCTGTCGCATCAGCTCCTCCTCACTGCCCCACACGTCCATGGCGCGCTTTAGCACTTGCAAATGAAGGTAAAGCTTCATCTCGCCCCAGCGCACATTGTGGGGATTCTTCCGACTAATGTAGCGCAGTGGCGGCTCACGTTTATCGAAATCGCAGTCCTTTAACAAGTACTCGGCCTTGGCCTCGGTGCGTGTGATGAGCGAGTGACGGTCTTCCGTGTCCCGGCATTTGTCGCAGACGGAATGTCCGAAGTTATTGAATAGATAGGAGTCTGCAAACTGGTCGCCACAGTCCAGGCACTCCTCATACTTCACAGGTATGTTAATGCCATCGTCAATTACTACCGGCGTCTCAGCCTCCGCGTTACTCTTCTGTCCAGGAGCTGGCAGCACGGGCTGCTCCAACAAAAACCCACCGCCACTGTCGATGTATTTAGTGCCCTGCACCTTAATCACCGAATTCCCCTCAGGTCCACCACTAAGAAAGGATTAATTGTTTATGTTAAATATGGACTTTTCATTGAAGTATCGCTTACTTTGGTCCAATTTTGTAGGGATGGGTCACAAGCTTGGCTTGCCGCAGGTTTTCCGCCTTTGCGCGATTGCGCTCGATGCGCGCTTTCTGTGCATTTGTTAGCGTGGTGTTGGAACTGCTTGCAGGCTTCTCAGTTTCCGTAGCCTCTGACATTTTCTTAGGATTTTAGCGCGACAATGTGAAATTGTTTATTACGATATTGAGACATCAGGGTTGTTTCCTTTTATTGGCACTGCCAACCTACTAAGAATGGTTATGGTCGCCGGCTGCTTACCACCAAACCCGCTAGGTGGCGTGCCGAACTAACCTGCCCCAAATTCGTTACGTTCGCTCTCTGAGAAAATCAGTTGCAAAATAATCTTGAGATATGTATTTGTAGATTTAAGAGCACAGTCAACAAATGGATTGTGTGCTTTCCTTATCAAGTGAACTATCGCATTTAATTGTGTGTATAAATTTGTCTACTTAGACAACGGGTGCTCAGTCAGAGCCAGCAACCAGTTTCGAGTGGACGTTCGTGCAAAAATCAAATCGGCTGCAATCACAAGAGTAAAGGAGGCGATGGTGCCCAACAGTGTTAATCCAGATCTGCAGAAAGAGCGCGATGGAGCAAGCTTCAATAGAGAAGAGTTTGCCAGCTGGTGGGCGGGTGGAGCGGAGTCGCTTAAATTTAAGAGAGACGTCAGTGAGTAAAGAGTAGAGAGAGAGAGAGAGAGAGAGAGAGAGAGAGAGAGCAGACAAGGTTTGTTTGTTTGTTTATTTTTTTTTTTTTGTTTATTGGCCCACTTACGAGTTCGAGTTTAAATCTAAACCATTACGGGTGTCAAACCAGCACAAACACTGCCTTATCGCTGCTGCAGCTGATAATTCGAAAGCTCAAAGTTTGCAATAATAAAATAATAATTGTTTGTGCGTCCCACCCCCGCAGAGGAGTATATGCTAAAAGGACTGAATCATGCTGACCACGCACTTTTGTACTACAAATCCCACGAAGAGATCTGCGACTTTTCCGTTAGAACTGCAATTGAGACGGGCAAGAGACTGCGCCGGCTTCAAGAGGAGCGCAATCCTGGTGGCGATGAGTACTGGCCGTGAGTAAAAGAAGGGAACCCCCTACCCCCCTTATTTAAAGTTATCCACTCCCTGCAGAGAACTCTACGCGTCGCCCGAAGTGTGGGCTGCAACGCCCGCCGGCAACCCCTTTGGAGTGCAATACGTGATGCTGGTGAAGGCGCTGAAGGCTCAGTGCACGCCGGAGCAGTACGAGGAGTTCGGCAAACGGGTTGAACGCTTCGAGGTTTGTGCCACCTATGCCCAGACAGAGCTGGGCCATGGCACCTACTTAAGGGGATTGGAGACGCGCGCCGACTACGATCGTCAAGCCGATGAGTTCGTCCTAAACACGCCCAAGATATCGTCCTACAAGTGGTGGCCCGGCGGCTGTGAGTAGCTGGATGAATACCAGCTTTTTAGCACTCCAATAACCTATCAGTATTTTTCTCAAGTGGGTCACTGCTCCAACCACTGTTTGCTGGTGGCTCAGCTGTATATCGACAACCAACCCAAGGGCATTCACATGTTCTATGTGCAGGTGCGCGACGAGAACACTCACGAACCATTGCCTGGAGTACACATTGGCGAAATAGGCAAGAAAATGGGCTTCATTGGCGTCAACAATGGGTTTCTGGGCGTGAAGAATGTTCGCATACCGCGCACCCGCATGCTGATGCGCCACGCCCAGGTGAAAGCCGATGGCACCTACGTGAAGAGTCCAGCCGATGTTCTAACTTATTTCGCAATGGTCCACACGAGATGCATCATTGCGCGCAACAATGCCCTTTTCCTGGCCATGGCTGCCACAATTGCAACGCGCTACGCTGCCGTCCGTCGCCAGAGTCCCATCAATCCCAAGTAAGTATTATCGATTGAGCTGCAAGCGTAGGAATATCCTTTCTTATTCTAATGGGACTTACAAAATTCTAAATCCCAAATACATAGAAACGGATTCATGATCAAAATGCCGAGCCACTTTTGAACCATAACAGCTAGAGACACGAAACATAGTGTGTTGACTTGTTTTATCCAAGATATAGTCTCAATTTACATAATTTCTGTTCTCCTATTATCTTTGTTAATACTGCATTGTATTCTTTTTACTACACAGAGCCCCTGAGCCGCAAATCATCGATCACGTAACTCAACAGCTGAAGGTGTTTCCCGAAATCGCCTCCAGTCTGGCGTATCATCTGGCCTCGAACAACCTCTGGGGCTTATATAGTGTTACCATTAATGATATTGCCAGGGGGAAGTACGAACGCTTGCCCGAGCTCCACTCCTTGTCCTGTGCCCTTAAGGTCCTCTGCTCGACTGATTCAAGTCTGGGCATTGAACGCCTGCGTCTGGCTTGTGGCGGCCATGGCTATTTAACTTCGGCCAATCTCTCCAATTTGTATATAAGTGCCACGGCTGCGTGCACCTATGAGGGCGAGAACACAGTCCTGTTGCTGCAAATCGGTCGTTTTCTGATGAAGTCGTGGCGTGCCGCTCTGGCCGGCGCTCCATTGGCACCAACCGTAAATTACTTGGCCGACGGGGTGAGAAATGCTGAGTTCGGAGCATGGACCGGCAGCTGGGAGAACCTGGTCGATGCCATGAAGTTTGTGGCGGCCAAGTGAGTACAATTCTGGAAAATATACATGTCTGTTGAGGCTATATCCAAGTGATGTGTGTGGTTGCAGCAAGACACGTTTGGCCTACAAGAGCTTGACGAATCGGTTGGAGAAGGGCGAAACCGAAGAGGAGGCTGCCAATCATACCGGCATAGAGCTTATCCAGGCCGCAGAGGTTTTTACTAGCAATGTTTTCTGACCATATAGAGCTCTGAATTGCAATCGTATTTCCTTTAGCTGCATGGTCGTGCCTTTGTTTTTGGCTCATTCGTGTCAGAGGTTACGGGTGCAAAGTCCAAGACACGGTCGGCCTCTTTGAATGCCGTATTGGAGCTACTGCTGGAGCTCTATCTGATCCATGTTACGCTAAAGCAGATGAGCGATATTCTACGCGTAAGTTTCAATCCACCCTAGTGCTCCCTAAGCCTAATCCTCGCTTTTCTCGCTACACAGTTTATCAATCTGTCCGACGCCGATCTAAGCAAGCTGCAGGAACGCCTCGAAACCACTTTGACCAAACTACGGCCCGAAGCTGTGGCTATTGTCGATGGCTTCGACTTTACCGATCAACAATTGAGCTCCACGCTGGGCTCCTTCGATGGCAACGCCTATGAACACATTTTTGAAGCGGCCATGAACAGTCCGATGAATCAGAAGTCTGTGCCGAAGTTCTTTCACGAGCATTTGGGCCCATTTATGAAGTCCAATATTTAGGGAATTATTTTGTTGCATATGAATTGTATATTGTTTGTAAATACACTGGTCGGCACAATTATTTTGACGAGAAGAAAATCATACATTTTTGTCAATAACTGGTTATTGGTTTAAGATATCAAAGGAAATTTTTTTTCTCAATTCCATATTGGTATTACAAACTTAAAAATAATTCAAAGGATATATTTTTATAAGGACTTTTAAAATTATAAATCAAGGTAATTTTCATGGGTTGGCATAAGTATTTTGACAATGGATATTAACAAAAAAAACAAAGCTTAATACTAAACAAAACATAAGAAATTGATGGTAGATTAATAAAATGTATACCCGCCTTTGGCTTCGATAACTTTTTGAAGACGTCTTGGAACTGAGTCCACTAAATTTTGAAGGACCTCTAATGGTATCTCTTTCCAAAGAGAAGTGACCTCGGAAATAGTTTCTTCTTCGGTTTTATGCAAAGACGCATTTCTTTTACGTTTTACAAGAGACCACACATTCTCAATAACGTTTAAGTCCGGACTTTGTGGTGGCCAATCCAGAGTAGTAACACCAACATCGGTTAAAAATGCTCTTATCATTTTGCTTTTGTGGCATGGGGCGTTATCCTGTTGCAGGATAAATGATTCTCCAATCAGCCTGTCACCGGAAGGGAATGCGTTTTCGTTAAGGGTACTCAAATATTGTTGCTGGTTCATTGAGCCGGTGATGGGAACGAAATCACCTAACCCATTGTACGCAATGCATCCCCAGAACATGACTGAGCCTCCGCCATGGCTCACTTTTTGACATACGGGGATATTTTTTTGTCTTTGAAACTGTGGGAGCCTTACAAAAATCTTTGTTTTTGATGAATTGTATTCAAAGGAGCTTTCATCTGTCCATAGAACGCTTCTCCAAAACTCTTTTGGCTTATGCAGATGCTCCTTTGCAAAAGCCAATCTTTTGAGCTTGTTCACCTTTGATATGTAAGGTATGTCCTTCGCTTTGTATGTCTTAAAATCTACTTCTTTTAGGCGTCGCCGAACAGTACGCTCACTGATTGGAGTCTTGGTCGACTTATTCCATTGATCTGCAGCAGCTTGCGGCTTTAAATGAATATTTTTTTTAAATTCCCGCAATAGGACTCGATCTTCAATGGGTGTTGTTTTGCGGTTAGCACCTGATCTAGGCAAGTTTTTGACGTGATTGTGGGTCTTATATTTGTTAATTTGATAGTGGACTGTTTGCCGCGACAAATTATATTCATTTGCAATGTCTTTTGGTGCTACGCCGGCATTAAACTTCGCCACTATTGAGGCTCTAACAACATAACTTAATTCTGTCTTTTTTACCATTGTATCGATTACTTTTGAATCAAATTTTAATGAAAATAATGTAAAAAGGTCAACAAAAATTGTTACACCAAAGTTATTTTAGTATCACTTGATAAAACGTACGCGAAAACGGCGACAAAGATTTGGTCAAAATACTTATGCCGTGCCTGAATCCGCAGTCAACTCACATTGTCATTTGTAGAAAGAAGGTGTGAAGAGTAATAGGCAAAATATTTTGCCTACATATTGTTGTTGCTATGAACTCTATATCCCGTATGAAAATTGTACCGTTATTCCTTGAAACTAAAAGCAACCAGCACCGATAGTCGTGAGTACAGTTCGTCAAAATAATTGTGCCGACCAGTGTAGGTAATTAATTACAGGGGTCTCTGGCATTTATTCGCTTAGATATGCGAACTTCATTATCTAAACACACGATCGTGGATTTTGATGTTGACTTAATAAAATGTTTGTCATGCTGAGTACTACGTAGTATCCACTTAAGAGACCTGATGTGCCGAACTACGAGCATACCGGTTTTGGCTCTGTGCAAGCTTTTATGGCGTCTGTGGTGCCCTTTGCTCCCAAAGCTCTTTACTTGCTGAGCAGCGTTCGCTCTGACATATCAGTTCGCGTGTGTAGCTCTCCAGAGGCGGTTCGGCGTGCTTAGTCAATATCTGAGCTTTATATTCCAAAAGAATTTCAAATAGAATCATGTCTGAGTTCAAAAGTGTTGTGCCCAAAACTATAAATCCCGATCTGCAAAAGGAACGCAAAGCTGCCACCTTCGATGTGGAGGAGTTTGCCACTTGGTGGCACGATGGGGAGGCAAAGCTAAGGGCCAAGCGTGAAGTCGGCATGTAGAAACAAGCTATATACTATGTATATGTTATTACATATGTTTCGACAGATAAGACAGTGCATTTCTATGCACGATTATTGAGCGATGCATGCTAATACGTGACAAAATTCCAGTGGCAGACATTAGACTCTAATTACTAAAAGTCCAAAAGATTGTGCGCCTGATATCTAGTGATATTTTCGGACTTTATTTTAGATAAGCTAACAGAATAGTGATTGGAAAGTGCAGCGCTGCTTGTTTCCCTTTCTATTGGACTCTAACTTTCGACTTTGTTTGCCGACAATCTTATCAAAACTTATCGCTAACACAACATGTCGTATGAAGTACATATTTGTAATGCTCCCGTGTTTCCAAAAATTTGCAGAGCGTCATATCTTTGCGAATCTGGAGGATGGCTATGGTATTAACCATGAGTATATGTCCCACGAGGACGTCTACAATACGGCCGTGCGCAGAGTGGCGGAAGCGGCGCCCAAGCTGAAGGCACTGCAAAAGAAATTGAATCCCGGCGGCAAGGACATTTGGCCGTAAGTCCTTAAAATCTCTACCAGAGCTGCTTAACGAATCAACCATTATTCACAGGGGTAGCCTCTTCAATACACACTCCCATGGACTGTTTCCTTCCAATCATCCGCTTGCCACCCATGCCACGATGTTCACGGATGTCATAAAGGGTCAGGGGACGCCGGAGCAGGTGGCGAAGTGGAGCGAGGCTGCGGAGAACTGCAACATAATTGGCACCTATGCCCAAACAGAGTTGGCCCATGGCACCAATGTGCGTGGCATTGCAACGCGCGCTGACTTCGATGCCAAGACGGACGAGTTCGTCCTGAACACCCCCAATCTGGAGGCCTACAAGTGGTGGCCCGGTGGTTGTATGTTAGAATTTATATTTTTATTTGCTTGACAAAGCTTTAATGGATGATATTTTCCAGTGGGTCATACGGCCAATCATGCCATGGTTGTGGCTCAGCTTTATGTCAAAGGCGAGCACAAGGGCATTCAGATGTTTATAGTGCCTGTACGGGATGCGGAAACCCACTTGCCATTGCCAGGCATTGATATTGGGGAGGTGGGGAAGAAGCTAGGCATGGTTGCCGTGAACCAGGGATTCCTGGGGCTAAAGAACGTACGCATTCCACGCACCAACATGCTGATGAAGCACGCCAAGGTGCAGCGCGACGGCACCTTTAAAGCAAGTCCTGCTTCCAGGGTCAACTACCTGACCATGGTCTATACGCGTTGTCTCATTGTCAACCTAAACAGCACGCTGCTGCTCGAGGCGGCGACCATTGCGACACGTTACTCCGCAGTGCGTCGGCAGAGTCCCATCGAGGAGAAGTGAGTTAAGGACAACATTGTTGAGAAACCTATAATAATAAACTTGTTTTTGGCATTTCAGTGCACCAGAACCCCAGATCATTGATCATGTGACGCAGCGTTTGAAGCTCTTCCCGGAGATAGCTAACGGCATCGCCTACCACTTGGTCGCCAAGCATATGTGGGAGCTGTACGATCAGACTGTGCTGGATGCGAACAACGGCAAGTTCGAGCGCCTGCCCGACATGCATATCATGTCCTGCGCCCTCAAAGTTCTCTGCACCACCGATGGCTGTGCGGGCATTGAGCGCCTGCGCCTGTCAACTGGCGGACACGGCTATCTTATTTCCGCCAATCTGAGCAACATATATGGAAATGCTGTCGCGGCATATACTTATGAGGGTGAAAATACAGTACTCCTGCTCCAAATAGGACGCGCCCTGATCAAGGCCTGGAGGACCTACACTCAGCGCGAGCCGCTGTCGCCTTCATACGCCTACTTCGAGGAGGCCATGCGCCAGCGCGAGTTCCCCAAGTGGGAGAACTCGTGGCAATGCATTATAAGGGCGCTCCAATATACAGCGGCACAGTAAGTCGTCGTTACATCGTCAATAATCTTAAATACGGACTTTCTTACGAACCTGATGCTATTCTTCTATTCTATTATGTTCCTAACCCCTTCCTGGCTGGAGTTTCGAGAAGTTGTTTAGGAACGTCCAACACATTATTAACTTTAATCTTGAACCTCCAAAGGGGGGGATTTCAGAATCAATTCATTTTGATTCCATACTATCGGAAATAATTTTCCCCAACTTTCCATGCATATTTATTTATAATCTTAGGAGTTAAGTAGAAGAACGACGAGTACGTTGAGAATGCAATTCTGCCATAACCCCTACAGATTTATCAGTAGAAGAGAGAGAGACAGATTCTTGAAGACTGATCCCCACAACAGTTATCTCGAACATGTAGAATTTGTATATCATATTGACAGACATATTATATTTTTTTACTATCTGGTTCTTAAATTAATTTTATGTTTTATTATAAACCATTTCTCCCCACCGCTTGCAGTAAGACACGCATTGCTTACGAGAATCTTGCGGAACGTATTGCCGCCGGACAGTCGCAAGCCGGGGCAGCGAATAATACCGGCATAGAGCTGACACGCGCCGCTGAGGTTCGTAAGCTCCACTAAACCCAATATGATTGGTACTATAACCGTTTAATTGTTTTATTTCAGCTGCACGGTCGGCAGTTTGTCTGTAATATATTCCTCGAGCAAATTATCGGAGAGAAGGCGAGTCGGCGCTCAAAGGCGCTTAACGATGTTTTGGAAAATGTTCTTGAACTATTCCTCGTCCAAACCGTGCTCAATAATTTGAACGACATCTTGAGAGTAAGTCTACTGCTTACAAATTCATGTCCAATATATAACGAATATTTTAAATACATTTATCTTTGTAGTTCATTCGATTGACTGATGCTGATTTGAGGTCTTTGCAAAAACGATTGGAAGTGGCTCTGGAGAAATTCCGTCCCAATGCTGTGGCCATTTGTGATGGTTTCGATTTCCACGATTGTGTTTTGAATTCGTCCTTGGGTAGCTATGATGGCAATGTGTATGCCCGTCTCTTCGATGCGGCCAAGCGCAGCACAATGAACCAAAAGCCAGTGCAAAAGTCTTTCGAAAACTATTTGAAGCCGCTGCTTAAAGCCAACTTGTAAATGGCTTATGATACGAGACTAGAACGACACTTAAAGGAATTATTTGGAGTCAGCAAATAAAATAAAAGTCCAACACACAGTTGTATTTTTGATTGCGATTCTATTTCATCTTTGTCGAGTTTCTATTCCTCAATCGAGCAAAGTCTAGTCTGGTGTATATTGTAGTATTAGGACCACTTAAATCTGTCATTGTCTAAAAAGAAAGCAATTAAAACTAAAAACTATTTATACAACTATCTGTTTTTGTAGCCGAAACCCATAACTTGCAGTGTATATGAACATATATTAAATTATTGGATACAATTCAAGTTTCATTGTACTATTCAGAAGAAGAATTTGTTTGTTAATTATTTGCCTGTCTGAACATTTCTTCAATAAACTTTCTTCCATTTAATAAACTTGGAATCATACAGAACAACAGCTAAAAACTTGGGGAAAATTATTTAAAAAGGACACCAAGGATCGGGCTACTGTACTATATTAAATGTGAACGATATGTAGATTTGCACCAACTTCCTCCACAGCTGCCATGTTTTTGAAGCTACGTATAGAAGTACCTCGGTCAATTTTGATAAATCATATACCCACATATGAACTTGAACCAAAGGTCCGATCTGGAAAGATCTTTAAAAAATTTGTTTGATCAGTGTACCATTTGAAAATGCACTTAGAGTTCATCTGTAAGTAGGCTTTAGCGAAACATTTTTATGCACCAAAAATTAACTATTTGTTTTCTATTTTATTTTATTTTATTTTATTTAAAGTGTATATGCTTCCATATACAATGTATATTTATTAGCTCCCAATAAATGGTGCACCCCTTATCAATAATTAGCTGGTTTAATCGCGAAATGGGGACCTAATGCACACCTGATGCTTGTTTGGGTTTATATTTATGGCCTTTTATCAAATTTTGTTGCATTTAGTTCGCCCCTCTCAGCTGTTTATGGCCCCAGCAACAGCTGTGTCTGAAAAAAGCTCCTCCACAGCTTTAAAAGCTTAATACTCTGAGATCGCTCTTCAGCAGCAAACAGTTGCTATTTAAGTCTCTGCGTTGGCACTTCTAGTGGCGCGTTCCAGCAGCGAAAATAGAAAGTTTTGTTTTCGTTTTTTTGCCCCATCGGTCTTTTGTTTTTAAGTGCAAGTTCAAAGGTCACTGCCTCCAGCGATGTCCATACCAAGTGCCGTAAATCCTGATCTGGTCAAAGAGCGTCAAAATGCCACGTTCGACGTCGATGAATTCGCGAGCTGGTTTTATGGTGACACGGCACTGATGGGCATGAAGCGATTGATCAGTGAGTTTTTTAATTATCCAATTTGAAAATATTGCCAACGACTTATTTGCTTTGCAGCGGAGGAGCTTTATCGGGGTTTGGATGATCCGCTTGATCTCGAGTACATGTCCTATGAGGATGTTTACACGGCGGGCGTCAAACAGGCTGTGGAGTCCACAGTACGCATGCGTAACATGCAAGAGAAAATAAATCCGGGCGGCACTGAAATCTATCCGTAGGTAGCAATGAAAGCAGCATATATACATATAAGCAGATAGTATATCTATAGACCTTTCCTTTATCAACAACAGTACATTGCTTAGCGGCCTTGTGGGTAATGCAATGATGCCCGCTGGCAATCCCATGGCCGTACATCTACTGATGTTCACGAAGGCGCTGAAGGGCCAAGGCACATCCGAGCAATATGAGAGATGGGGCAAGCGTGCCGATAACTTCGAGATTATAGGCACCTATGCCCAAACTGAACTTGGACATGGCACCTATTTGAGGGGTCTCCAGACACGAGCCGACTACGATCGCCGAACGGATGAGTTTGTGCTGCACACGCCACATATTTCTGCGTACAAGTGGTGGCCCGGTGGGCGTAAGTATTACTGGGGCATTCAGAATAAACACTATTCGGTGAGGGGTTGACAATCCTACATTATTGAGAACAATGGGCTATAAAATGTTGCAGGAAAAAAGCTAGAAGAGAAATCAAACGTTTCAAAACTTGTGTCCAAATGGTTAATATACAAGTAGTAGTAAACTAACAGGTTCCGAGCTTGTTGCAGATATAAACGTGTAATCAGCATGACAAGACGAATCGATATACATGACGTGAACGTCACTTTTTCCTTCCACCCATAGGTTCGTAATAGCACTATGCTATTATGCTATTGTATGGTTTAAACATCTGCCGATACCAAACTTGGCATGTAAACTTATCTAATCTATATCTACGAGCATGGGCAAACAAATTTATTATAGAATAGATATAGCCCCATTCTTTCACATACTATAGCTTTCATAAAAAAGTTCGGTGAAAAATCACATACTTAAGTATTCAAAAGTTGTCTGGTATTGTAATGATGTTTGGCAATTGTTGCTATTTTTTTTATAAAGCTTTTTTGAGTAAAGCTTTATCGAAGCTATAGCGAATTTATTTTTATTTAATTTAAACGATCAGAAATTTCTCAATTTAAATCTCGATTTGCCGTCACTTAGGTACTTACTATGAGAATCGCAGAGGAGGGCGGCCACAATATTTATTTTATTTTATTAAATTTATCAGAAATTTCACAATTTGTTTTTCTTTAATTTAATTTATCAGAACTTTCACAATTTAAATCTCGATTTGCCGTCACTTAGGTACTTACTATGAGAATCGCAGAGGAGGGCGGCCACAATATTTATTTAATTTTATTAAATTTATCAGAAATTTCACAATTTGTTTTTCTTTAATTTAATTTATCAGAACTTTCACAATTTAAATCTCGATTTGCCGTCACTTAGGTACTTACTATGAGAATCGCAGAGGAGGGCGGCCACAATATTTATTTTATTTTATTAAATTTATCAGAAATTTCACAATTTGTTTTTCTTTAATTTAATTTATCAGAACTTTCACAATTTAAATCTCGATTTGCCGTCACTTAGGTACTTACTATGAGAATCGCAGAGGAGGGCGGCCACAATATTTATTTTATTTTATTAAATTTATCAGAAATTTCACAATTTGTTTTTCTTTAATTTAATTTATCAGAACTTTCACAATTTAAATCTCGATTTGCCGTCACTTAGGTACTTACTATGAGAATCGCAGAGGAGGGCGGCCACAATATTTATTTTATTTAATTTACCAGAAATTTCACAATTTAAATCTCGATTTGCCGTCACTTAGGTACTTACTATGAGAATCGCAGAGGAGGGCAGCCAAAATATTTTTGAATTTAATTTGATTTATCTGAAATTTCAACATTTGTTTTTCTTTAATTTAATAGAACTTTCACAATTTAAATCTCGATTTGCCATCACTTAGGTACTTAGTATGAGAATCGCAGAGGAGGGCGGCCATAATATTTTTTTATTTAATTTAATTTATTTGAAATTTCAGAACTTAAATCTCGATTTGCCGTCACTTATTCCATCACAAATCCCACAAAGTATATATATTCTTGATCAGCATGAAAAGGCGAGTCGATCTAGCCCTGTCTGTATGTCTGTCTGCCCGTCTGTCAGTTTGTCCGCCCATCCGTCCGTCCGTATGAACACCTGGATCTCGGAGACCATAAGAGCTAGAGACACCAAATTTTGCACAAAGATGCTTTATTTGTGGAGGCTATATTTGCCTACAATGCCGATATAAATATGCAATTATACACCCATTACGTGAGTTCGAATACGAAGGGAGGTAAAATCGATCAAATTTTTGTTTAATTTGCTCAATTTTTTAAATTTCTATAATTGTTCTTCGCTGCTTTAGCTTCTCTACTTGTTTTTCCTTTATTCAAGTCACATGAGTACTTCTGACCTACCTTAACTTCTCGTATGTTCATAACTCGTTTTCAGTGGGCCACACGGTCAATTATTGCATAGTGGTGGCACAACTGTACATCGATGGCGAGAGCAAGGGGATCCATTTGTTTTTGGTGCAGGTGCGGGATGAGGAAACGCATCGCCCGTTGCCCGGCATTGACATCGGAGATATTGGGAAGAAGATTGGCATGCCGGGCGTAAATAATGGCTATTTGGGCTTGAATAAGGTGCGCATACCACGCATCCAGATGCTCATGCGAAATGCTCAGGTCCTGGAGGATGGCAGCTACGTGAAGAGTCCCGTTTCGCAGCTCAACTACTTTCCCATGGTGTATGTGCGTGCGGCCGTGGCCTTCGGCAATACGTTCTTTCTCGCCCAAGCAGTCACTATTGCCACACGCTACTCCGCCGTGCGTCGCCAGAGCCCTATTAAGTCCCTGAGTAAGTCCAGCACGCAGTTGATTGGAGAGGAAGTTTCTAAAAGTTAAGGTTACAGCGAGCCCGAACCACAGGTGTTGGATCACATAACGCAGCAGATGAAGGTGCTGCCAGAGATTGCAAGCGTGGTTGCGTATCGCTTGGCCGCTGGACAGGTGTGGTCTCTGTACCATCGCACGGCCAAGGATGTGAATGCCGGTGATTACTCGCGCTTACCGGAGCTGCACGCCTTGTCCTGCACCCTGAAGGCCGCCTGCTCCTACGACTCCACCTATGCAATTGAGCGCATGCGACAGTCCTGTGGCGGCCACGGTTACTTGGCGGCAGCCAATTTGGGCAACATTTTCGGTCTCGCCTCGGCCGCCTGCACATACGAGGGCGAGAATTCGGTGCTTTATCTGCAGGTGGGCAAGATACTGCTGAAGGCTTGGGGCGATGTGCTGGCGAAGCGTCAATTGATGCCCACCATGAGCTATTTGGGCGAGTTAGCTGCCTGGAAGCAGTTCCCCCAGTGGACCGGCTCATGGCAACAGCTGGTCGAGGCCTTGCAATATGCGGCCACCAAGTGAGTTGCCATACACTGGCTTTTCTGCCTCGGGTTTTAACAAAATTTGCATTTTTTCTCCGACAGTAAAACGCGTTTGGCCCATCAGCACTACACGACGCGTCTGGGCGCGGGTCGCACCCAGCCGCAGGCTCTGAATGAGACGGGCATTGAGTTGACGCAGGCAGCAGAGGTGAGTGGAGCTGCACCTTTTGCCAATTTCCCTCCCCAATTGAACCGAAAATGTTCGCCTTCCACAGTTGCACGGTCGCGCCTTCGTTACGTACACATTCTTGCAGGAAGTTACGGGCAAAGCGGCTGCCAAGCGATCAGCGAACCTTAATAGGGTGTTGGAGCAGTTGCTGGAACTGTATCTGGTCCACACGGTGCAACGACATATGGCCGACATACTGCGGGTAGCTATATATTTTATCGTGTATTAGACATTATGTGGGTAGTTCAGATAGTTTCGTCATTACACCAAGGACTCTTTAGATAAAGTCTAAAACCATAGATGACGAAACTAATAGTTTGTTGGTAGTATATACACAATATTTCCTCGAACCATTATCATAATCTTATTCATATATTGAAAAATCGAAGACTGATTATTGATATCTATCTTTTCTGTTTCTCGTACAGTTTGTGCCGCTCAGCGAGCAGCAGATCGATGATCTGCAGACCCGGTTGGAGCTAGTGCTGAAGCAGGTGCGCCTCAACGCGGTGGCCATAGTAGATGGATTCGATTTGGAGGACCGTGAACTAAGCTCCGTGCTGGGCAGCTACGATGGCAACGTGTACGAACGCATATTGGCGTCGGCCAAGAAAAGTCCCATGAACAAGCGGCCAGTGCCCGTTGCCTTTGAGCGTTATCTGAAACCCTTTATGCGGGCCAAATTGTGAATAAAGAGTGCTGCATTTTGTTGTTGTTTTTTAAATTAGTTTTATACCATTTTTATTATTATATTTAGCAAATCAAAACCAAATTTTCAGTACATTCAGCGCATTTAGAAAACTAGCAAACTAAACGCTTAAAAAATATTTAATAAGAACAAAAAAAATTGAAGAAACTTGAAGAGTTTTAGGTTGGTGTGAAAATAATCCTCAATATAGTTATATAAAAAGTTGCAGTTGCTTGTTTTTTACAGTGTAGAAAAGGTTGTATTAAGATTTCGTTCAATGTTTGTTAAGTTTTGTTCTGTTAGTTGGTTGGTTGGTTGGTTGGTTTACATGATTTTTTTGTTTTTCATTAGTTGTAGTATTTGTTTTCTTTCTAACATACACCATATACGTTTTGTTTCCGGTTGCTGTGTGAATAGATACATACATATAAATGTACGTATATACATATACGTTACTACATATGCATTATAGTACACAATTACACACACAATTGATTTATGTATTCGCTTAATTGTATTATATTATTAATATTATTACATACATTTAACGAAAATATGGCGTTCGAGAGCGAGTTGCTTGACTAACAAGTAAACAGTATTGCGACTAATTGGATTTGCGGTCGAATGTGTGTGTGTATGTGTGTGTGTGTGTGTGCGTATATGCCTGTATGTATGTGTGTGTGTGTGTGGTTCGTTACAACGGTATGTGTTTAATTGAATTCATTTGAACAAAAGCACAAAAATGTACAGTAATGCTAATGCTTTATTTTTCAATATATTTTTTTTAGTTCTGCCGCTTAAACTTAACAATAAAATTTGTTTACTATTGCAATTAATATGTGGCTTGTCAAGAGAATTCCAACATATGTATGTATACAAGTATAACTAAATAAATGCACATATGTGTAAGTTATTGCATAATTTTGATTCTCAGCATTGGAAGCAATTGGGTTAAGAAACAATCAAAAAAACTTTTAATTAATAGCACACTAAAGCTGATCAAGGTCTTAGAAAAGGTTAAGCGACTGACAACTCGCGGCTTAGTGCAGACACAGTTAATGCAAATGATTATAACAAAACTAAATTAATGTACAATTGCTTGCATATTCATTTGTAATTCAATAAATATAAATATATTTATATATATACTATATATGCTTCGTTTCGAGTTTAGAAAAGAGAGTCAAAATATATTTGTATGAATTGCTGTTATGATAGCTTCAACCTCTCGTACCTCTTTAATTATTAATTTAATTTAATATTCAACTTCATTTTGGTGGCCAGGGAAAATGTTTGACGCTTAGTTTTGCTATTTTGCTTTCATTTTTCTTTCGTTCTTGCTTTCTTCGTGTTTGCTTTTTATTTGCTTGTTTGTTTGTTTGTTTGTTTGTTTTTGTTGTTTAGGAATTACACTAATAATTACATAATAATGCTTACTAATAACTTAAACACATTTATGCTTCAATTTAAATGTGCCACAAAGTATTTCATCATAATTGTCTGGTTATGTAAATCATTTACTTGTCTATGCGCGTGTGTGTGTGGGTGTGTATGGGTGTGTGTGTGTGTGTTTTATTGCTCTGCATATGAAAACTTATATATGCAATTGTTTTATGAATTGGTTTATGTTTTTGTTTTTCTCGTCCAAATTGAAGTACATTTGTTTACATCTATGTGTGTTGTAAATAGTTGAGTGTTTGCTTGCTTGCCAGTGTCTGTATTATTTGCATTTGTTTTATATTATATTATTATTATTACTTTTTCTCTACATACACATATTCATAATTAATTTCCGCCCGCCCTTATAATGGTTTCACTATAAAGTGTTTTAATTTCGCTTGTCATAGTTACCTTTCTTCATACATATTTGATATTTTCCTTTTACACAATTTGCTTAAAATGTACTTAATTAATAAAAATGTGCACACACACTCAACAACATTTAGTTACAAACTCTTTGATGTTGTTTGTACCCCTTCTTTCTATATATATACAAGTATATATATATATATATGTATGTATGCATATAGATTTCTAAAGTAGATGTGTGTGTGTGTGTGCAGCATTAACTTAAGTTCAAAATTTGTATCCCCTCACGAAAAATTGTGTGATCTCAAGAGTTTTCATTTTTGTTTGTTTTCTTTTGTTTTGTTTTTAGTTTGTTGCCCTCTGCTGCGACTTTTCGCGCAGTGTATTAGTTGAGCTTAACCAATTCTATTGCGTATGCTTTTATAAATGCCTCCCTCATATCATTCCAAGTTGTTCCTTTTGCTCCTCCTGCTACTCCAGTTGTTGTTGTTGCTGTTGTTGTTGTTGTTGCTCATTTGCATTGTCAACTTAATACCTGCGCGCTGAGCCATTATCTCAGGCGTAGAACTCGCGATTATTCGCATTTTTCGCATACGAGTTGTTGGCCGGAGAACGCTTTGGCTCGTCCAGCGCATAGGAGCCCTCGTCCTTTTTCCTCATGCGATAAACAATGAACATAACCACGAGAATGGCACACAAAAGGCCAACAACGGCGCCGCCAATGACAGCTGTTAACGTGTAGAAAGAAGCAGATTAAATACATAGATCACAGATACTCGTACGTGTGAGCTTTGTCAGAAATATTAAAACCATAAAATATATTCAGATAGACACATCTCTTCACTAGCAATGTATATAAATTAATATAAATATATTGTTCAGGTCTAAAGCTTCTAGATAAATGCAAGCAGTCAATCTAAATAAATTGTATTTAAATATGTAATTTGAAAATCCGTTTCAAGAATGGTTAGAAATCCATAAATGAAATACATTTCTGTCAATCACCTGCCAAATGAGATCCCAATTTGGAAATCTCCATCATCTATCAAGTCTGATCTTATTACTCAAGCTATGAAGTTCGACTTCGATGATCTATTAAATGCGATTTCATTCCATAAGGTGTGATCTCAATGTATTAATTGTAATCTCAATCATTAGTTAAGTGCAATCCCGATCACCCGTTTTTATATTTTAATAAAAAGGGAAGCTTCCAAAACTTGGTATTAGTTATGTCAATACTTTAAAATTTATATCATTCTTAAAAAAAGAAAAACTAAAAAAAATGCATTTCGACTAAAATAAATGAAATTTGTTTAATTCGGCAGCTTAACATGGAAGTTGGCCTGCAAAATTGGTTTTAAAGATTTTTAAAATAAATCATTTTTTCCAACACGTTTGATGATATTTTAATAATATTTAATAATAAGTATTAATATTTAATCCTTTTAATTTTCTACCCAAACTTGAAGTCTAATCAGTTTAACGGCTAAGCCCATTTTTGTAAAAACATGCCTGAGAATGTTTTTTTTTTGAATTTAAAATAAAAAGTTGCACTCGTATTTTTTATTTACAAAAAAAAAAAAAAAAAAAACTATGCATCATTAATATCGATTTAAGTACAGATATTTATTTATGTGACTAGTACAAGTAAAATTCGAATAATTTTTGTGTTCAATCATAAAGACAAAAGAATTCTATCCGATTAGTTTAAAACTACACGAGGACAAGACATAGGATCATGTTTTGATTTATTAGATATATTTATAAAATGATCTATATTTTCGTTTGGTTATACTTTGTTCTTAGTTTATTAGCAGTGAAGTATAAAGAAATCAGTGGCAGCGTGGCCCTTTTCTGATCGGGTTGGGGGGCTTTACCATTATTGATGGGGATTTTCATTGGGTACACTAATTAACTATTTTCCTGTCTGACTGTGCAGGTGTTGTAGTAGAAAATTGTGCTTTCCCCCATGTTTAAAGGAACTCTACTTTATGATTTTTACATACCTGCCAAAATGCCGGGCTGCGCAAAGAAGCTCGTCGTGCGATCGTCGTCGCTCATGATGACTACCTCGTTGATAGGCGTGTGATCAATCGGTTTGGTATCTGTTGGCTGGCTATTGATGTTGTTGTTCGGGTCCAATTCGTGAATGTTGCCCTGAATGTTTGTAGTGCCCGCTGTGTGAATGTAACGAGAAAAGAGAGCAAAATGCCAGGCGGCGTTTGTGTTGAGTTGCATTCAAAAAGGATTTCGTTTTAAAAATATAATCAATAGGTAAGTATTATGTGTGTATGCATGTACATATATTGTTGTATGTGGAATGTTTAATGTGCGTGCAAATAAAGAAACTTTTTGAATACTATTATTAAGTGTCAATATTGGTTTTAATAGATAGCATGTTTGTACTGTGTGTGTGCGTGTATTCGTTTGTGTGCTTGCGTGTGTTCATGAATATAGGTATGTATTCATGGAAAGCTATGCAATGATTTTACAAAACTTAAGCCACAAAATTGCAGGAGTAGAGACAAGTTGTCAGTATATCCATAGAAAACAAACTTAAATTATATTCCTGTTGAAAATGTTAGTTTAGATTGGCAAAAAAAAGCAATATCTAGGGGCATGGGTTGTCGAGGGCCTTACTCCAAGTAAATACACACAAATTGTATTAGTTGGTTAGTTTATTTATTATTTAATATTTGTTTGACTCTGTCTGATCTTTTCTGCACGAGCACACTCAATACTTGTTTTCGCCTCAACAACTCACGCCCGACTGACTGATCTGATGCTACTTATGTTATTCCTTCGTTTCCTTTCCTTGTCATTCTCTTTGTCTCTCTACTTATGCCGACTGTCAATTTCTAAGCCGGGCTGCTTTATAACAGGGCTACTGTATATTACTCTACCATTCCTACATATTTTAAATAATATTATTGTTAGCTTTTTAAGTAGCAACTTTAAATTGCGCTACAAAGTAGGCAATACTTTTGTGCTATTTACATTATTTCCGCATAACAAGGAAATTTAAAGATGGCAGGAAAAAAGAGATGTCAAAGAAATCGCTAGACATTTTTTTCTTTTACTTATTTTGCAATCCTTTTGAAATTCCTTGAATAGAAAGTGCACTTTTGCAGACAAGTCAAACGTTGCCGTCACAAGAAAATATTTCGTATATTATTTGATTTTTCTTTTCTTTAAACAAAAATGTTTAAATTGAATTTTTCTTCATTTTACGGTTTATTTATAAAAAAAAAAAACAGATATCACAAGAATAAATATACAAATGTTGAAATTTCAACTTTAACCCGCTTAAATTAAAGTTCGGACAATTTATTGCTACTCAGTTGAATTGCTATTTATTTTTATTAAAGTTACTTAGCGAATGAAAAATGTGTTTATTTTGCTAAAATTGTTCTCTTTTCAAAAACTCTTTGAAGACATTTATAGAAAATTCCTGACACACAATGAAAGATTAGAGCCCAAGGAAAATAGCTTCTCAGAAATTTCTCAGCCATCCCCGATTGAAACGGGAAAATACTCATTACACGCTAATGAGTGCAAAGCAAGAAGTTTAAATGAGAGAAGCGAACAGTGCGCGGGGCAGATGCAGAAAATTGTCACAAATTTTCGCCCAAGTTGTTTTCCACATTTTTGCGGCTCATTGTCAGCTGCCATCGACTGACAACTGACTCTGTTCTTCCTGTTGTTGCTGCTTGCGTTGACAACTCAACTGTGGGCTGTAGGCGGTGGTCGGGTAGGTGGTTGTGAGGGCGTGGAACTTTCTGAGAGTCACAAAGAGAGGGGCGTTGGCTGCTGTTGAATTTCACACGCACCTAGCTTTTTAGATGGGCCACAAAACAACAAACTTTTGATCTAATTGGGTTTCTTGAGTTTTTTTTCTGTTTGCCACTTTGCCACTTTGCCACAGTTGGCGCATATTTTGCTGCGCATTTAATTTGCATAATTTTCGTTATTGAAAAATGAAAGCAAAGCCTTCTTTTTTGAACTTTGTTTTCTCATATTTAGGTGCCTTTGTGATAAAATTACATTAATGCCAATTAGCTGTCGACCAAACGATTTTTTATTAAATTAATCGGCATTTGTTTGTTAAATCATATCATGAGGGTCCTTTTGAGTGTACGAGTATGTGGGGGATCCTCCCATACCTCTGTTTGAGTTCAAAGCATGTTTATTGCTTGATTAGCCTTTGGGTGTTGTTTTCTTGAGGTGAGTGTTTGCTTATTTGACAGCACGTTCGCAGCTTTGTTCGTTGAACCAGCAAAGAGCGTCAATTAAATTAATTATGCAGGCAGCCCATAATAGCCACTCAATACATCAAAATATGTGTGTGTGTGTGTGTTTAAGAGTCTGTGGCTTGAACTGCATTTGCGGCATTTGATTGCGTACCCGGGATTGCATTAAATAGTAGCTTTGGGGAAAGCCGCAGGCTCAGACTAGTCTGAGTCCATTAACAATGGAAAATACTATACGTATGTACAAACATACGTTTTCGTTCGAGTTAAGCAAACAAATTAACTTCGCAACAGCACAAATAGAACGTGAGTGCTTGTTGTTTCAGACAGAAACTGTTTAAGTGTAAAACTTGAGCATAACAGCGACCGGTGAGTAAATACAGCTGTCTAAAGTCTTTATAGGATTTCAACTCAAGTTAAATTGTCCTGTGGCTAAGGAAGAAATTAAGTTGCAAGTGCTGCTGGGGATAATAGTTATGTACACAACAACTTTTCCGTGTGTGGAAAATCAAGAGCGAGACACAAAGCCAGTAAAATTGGTTTTTGCGGTTGAGGTTCTTTAAATCTTCTATGAGTATTCGGGTTACTTTAAGCTCTTACTTTGGTGTTTGTTTGCAGAGAATAGTGTTTAAAAAAAGGAAACCTAAATACGGAGTAATGAAAAAGTTGTCTAATAACCAATATAATGGAACACTCTTCCTCTGTGAGTTAAAGAAGCCCAATAAAATATACATTTAGGTTCCAACTAATTTAGGTAATCCACAGCTTCCCAGCTTCTATTTCCTTTTAAAATTATGCGCAAACGGTTCGCTAAATAGAACAACAAAAAGTTAATGCTGATACAGGAATATAACATTTTTATGAAAGCTTTTTGTTGATCTTCCAGTAGATAGTTTTATCTGTAAGATTCTTATTTTTAATTTTATTTTTTTAACGGTAAAAAACGTTAAAAAATTATGCCTGTTTATGTTCAAAAGGTCCTTCAAAATTCCTTATAATAAGTACTTTCAGAATCCCTTATAATAAGGTCTCTGTTAATTCCCTGTTTAAAGTTTTGTAAAAGCGCCAGCTCTGGCCTTTTTAAATATATTTTGCAATTGCAAATATTTTACTAAAATCTTACATCTGTATAAGGAACGGAGCAATATCATGGACAACAGAAAGACTGAATTGGAACTGCATCGTAAATAAAGTTTGGAATTGGAACAACTGTAAGGGCTGTCTCTTTGTGCGAGACGAAACGCTGATTGATGGCGAATCGGATTGCAGTCGCAGTCGAACGCAGGCAATGAAAAATTGCAGAGCCTCCACAACTGCCGTTACTGTTGCAAGCTGTCACTGCCTTAATAGCTTGACACACACACTCATACACATGCGGATGACGCATACACGCACACAAAAATTCGATTAACAAGCGACGCGCACACATTCTGGTACATTGGTGCAGTTTATGAGCGAACGTGCAAATTGCAGAGCTTGGGCCAAGCTTTTAGAAGCGTCTACTTTGATTTGGGGACGAGTGTGTGTGTGTGTTTGTGTGTTTGTGCGGGTGTGCGCTCTGCCCTCAATCACAGTTAGAGTCACAGTCAATCACCAGGATGAACTGTGCTCTCGTTGTACGTGCCAAATTATGGCAGCGCTTTGCTCGTGAATGCAAAAGTGTTGCCTGCTTTTAGGCTGCAGCGCAACGACTTTGATTTTGTGGTCCTTTAACAAAACATTTCGCTGGCCGTGCATATGGTGATGCAGAGGTGGAAAGAAAGAGTGCCACATATTTGCCATGCCTTTCAGCAACAGTCCATTATATGGGGAGCACTCGAGCCCGGCTTAAAGAGTGCTTAGCACGAAGCAGATGTGTGTGTGTGCGTGTGCTGCTTAGACTATAAATAGCGTTTGTCAGCGACAACATGAGCCAGAAAGTACTGTGAAGCATGCGCCTTAAACGGAGCCCGTGGTGGTGGGAGAGGGGGCAAGTGTAGCTGTATGAGCAACAATGCTTCAAGTAACCGAACACATACAAATACACAAACTTATATGGGAGCCGTCACCGTCGTCGCCATTGTCAGGGCTTGTGATTTTTCATTTGAAGTGCTTTGAAGCAGCGCAGCAAGTGCTTTTTTCTTCCCTCTACTCTACACATTTTGTGTATACCCTGTATGCCCGAGGAGTATACTAAAAAGCCTGAATGTATGTTGCAGGAAAAGAAAGGCGTGACAGACTGCTCGACTGTGCGAACATCGAGATCTTTTCAACCATAGCATGCCAGCAACACAAATCTGGTCATGTCGAATTAATTGTCCTACCTATAGGCAGCCGAATTGAATAGACGAAGTTTATATAGTTTCTATTGAGCCGATACACGATAAAGTAACAACATGTGGGATTCACGAGTTTCTAATAATGTCCCACTGCATCCTGAAGTTTCGTGGAAATAGGAGCAAAGGAATATAGAAGGGTGGACGGGCATAGGATATACAATAGTCAGTCTTGCGCGACTTTAACATTCGATTCATTTTTTCTTTGCAGCTGTCGTATGACGACAAACAACAACAGAGACGCGTGCAACATTGCTGCACAGCTTAGTGGGATTTTTATTTTAAAGCTCTTGACTATGAAGCAGCAGTGCGGGCGTGTGGCGCTTAGTTCGCCTGTTCGCCCTTGCGCGGTTGTTTGTTCGTGTGTTCCACTAATGGAACTTTACGCCTAAGGCAACAATTGTGAATTGAGCTTCTGACTGAGATGGAGTATTTTACAGGCAGCCACCTGCTCGCAAGTTGAACGGCTTCTGCTCTATGCTGACTCTGACTTATCGCCTGCCCATTACTGATAGTCATCAAATTTATCGTTTCTGCCGCCAAGAGTTGACGTTTGTTTTGGGCGAGGAATGAGTAATTAATGGCTTGTCCTTGCCGCTGATGCGGTTGAGGTTTCAGCTTTAACAATTCATACCCAACTCGAATATAGAAACAGACACATTTAGGAGATATAGTTGAAATGCAACTTTCAAGTGTAGACTTTTACTTGTAAGCTGGTTTATAGATTTCTGGTAATTCGATATAGTTTTAAGATTTATATCTCTGGTTGATCATATAAATAATCTCATCATCTCCAAAATTTTAACACCTTTGAAATGCCTACAAATTCTGTTATCTCGTGGTCTTTCGGTGGCCTTCCTTGGCCATTTCTGGCTTTGATAACTTTTTCCACCTGGGCAGCTTGCCGGATCTCATTTAAACGATGTTATCCAAAATGTTACTTTTATAAACGCAGGAGTAGATTTTCCTAGAGAGTCTCAATATCAGAATTTCCTTTTCTTTGATTTGGGTAATATTTTTATGACTGAATACTCCTACATATATAAGTTTTTGTATTAAATCCATGTTAAATAAATAAAACTGTCAAAATTTCATCATCAATGCTTTGTGGTTAAGGTCTATAAAATAATTGCAAATTTTCAGAAATATATGTGTGCTTGATTCATAAATGGATAATTATACCATGGTGTGCTTATAAAACGCACACATGTATGTATATACATATATGTGTATGTATATGCGTCTGTGTATCATTATTTTCGATGAATATGTGGGAATGTTTTTGTGTGGGTTGTGTGGCATGCTGGCTTGGTTCTTTTGTTGAGCTGTGCAAATGAGTTTTAAATGGAAAAACACAGCATGTTGCAACAGATACATACACATAAATAATCACACACACACACACACAGTAATGTAATGTAAAGTGAAAATGAGTAAATGAAGCGCGATTTGCTTGTATATGAGCGTGAAAATTGATTTCGTTATGATTTGACTTAGGGGAAATTTTGGTGTAGATTTTGAGTGGCTACCACAAAATGCGATTAGAGCGAGAGAGCGATAGAGAGAGAGAGAGAGAGAGAGAAAGAGTGTGGGTTCGTTGTCCGTTGTGTTACGACGCGCTTAAAAGTTGATCGCGACGTGGCATAGACCTGACACTTGACAATTTAAATAAAAGTATTGTATAAAATTAACCTAAAATGTAGAACATAAAATACAAAATTACTTATAATTACAGCATACGCTCCCTATAGTGACAACTATCGACCATAAAGAGCGTCTACTGCAGCCAAAATACTTCAACTATTTAAGCTGCTTATAAATTAAAATCAATTACAAAAATATGAATACCAACAATTAAATAAAATACATATACATACATGCATGTAGGGAAAAAGTAAAATTGCCATTGCTAATGCACATGTGGCCGAGTTGCGGTTGTGCGCCCAGCAGTATGCAACGAAATGGCAGTTTCACATTGTGAACGAAAGCAAATTGACAAAACCCAATTGCAAAATGGTCAGGGCAAAGCATAAAACCATTAAAACGGCCACAGACACATACACATGTACACACACGCACACACTAGTCAACAAGTTATTGTTGTGTGCATTTCTGTGTGTGTGTGTGTGAGTGTGCGCGTGTGTGCCTGCAGCCATTTGCCAAACCGAACATGCCGCAACAAAAGCAACTTTACGATACATACTTAACAAACTAAAGAATAAACTGAAAAATGCAAGTGCAGGAATAATTGGGAAAGCAACGTTTACAGAAAAAGTACAAAAAACACAAATGAAAGCAACAATACAATATAAAATGTGGAAACAAATTATAGAAACCAGGCAAAAGCAAAAGAAAATTAAAAACCACTGACGTTCGCGTTGGCCGGCACTGGGATCGCTAATATCCGTATATAGCTCCTCATCCTCGTCCTCACTGCCATCGATCGGAGGGTTAATTTCCTCAACGCCCTCAGGGCGTTTTGGCGTGCCCACCGACTCTTGATCTGTTTTAAAGATTTGGTGTTCGGTGTCGTAATCATCGTCACCACCACCATTGCCAACGCCCTGCAAATCATCGCCGTCGTTGTCGTCATTATCGTCATTATCATCATTATCTTCATTATCATCATCGCCGTCGGCACTGCCTTCGTTCGTGTCGTCCAAGTCAATGACATCATCTTCATCATCCCCATCGATGGTGGCATCGGGAAGAGCACTGATGGGCGTCTTTTGTGTGCTGCTTGTGGTGGAGCTTGGAACGCTCTCCGGCGTGGGTACATCGGGTTTAATAATGTGGGTATCACCGCTACTGGAGGAGGAAGAGGAGGATGAGGAAGAGGAGGAGATGCTGCTGTTGTTGTTGTTGTTGCTACTGGTGCTAGTTTGGACTGTTGTGGAGGGATGTATTGGTGTTGCTGTATGAGCTGGTGGATATAAAGATGTTGTTGTTGTTGTGTGTAAATTATTATCGTTATTATTATTATTGTGATTATTAGTAAAAGAGCTGTCGCTATTATCATCAATATTATATTTGTGAGTATCGTTTATCTTGAAAATTGGGTGTGATGATGGAGATGTGGGCGCTATGATAATGGTTGTTGTTGTAGTGGTGGTTGTTTTTGTTTTTGTAGTGTTTGGATAACTTTGATTTGTAACTTTAGAAACTGAATTGGAGTTGATTGGAGTTGAAAAATTGTTGGTAATTGTTGTTGTTTTTGTTGTTGTTATTGTTGGATTTATTGGATTGATTGTGGTAGAAATAGGAGTAATAGTAGTAGTAGAAGTAGTAGTAGAAGTAGTTGAAGAAGAAACAATTTCTGTTGCTGTTGTTGTAGTTGTTGTTGTTGCTGTAGCATTATTACTATCTTGATCTTTACCGATTGTATGACCACTGATGTCACTACCACTGCTGATGATGCCGTTGATGTTGTTGTTATTATTATTGATATTAATGTTGTTGTTCTGGTTGTTGTTGGTGCTACTACCAATGATTGTGCCACTATTCGTTTGATGGTTGTTGTTGTCGATTTGATTGTGGTGGTTGACTCTACTAGAGATGAGGTCGTTGTTGTCGTTTGTATTATGCTTACTATTTGTATTCGCGTTTAGCTGCGTATTGTGGACTCGCGAATTGTGCGAACTGTGATGATCTGTTATGGCGTCCTCGTCATCGGGTCCGAAACCGGAGCCAGAATAGTCCGCTTCTTTATCTAGATCATCGTGTACCTGCAGAAGATAAAAAATTTAAAAAAAAATCATACATTAGATTGTGTGTGAGTAAGGGGTTAATTACAGTGGTGGTATATAGAACAATATTAATTATAAATAGTGCCATTATTTTGTGGCACATTTGTGTCAAGAGGTTCAAATTATCTGAGTGGACTTTAAGTATAAAACTGCCACAAGTTTCTTTGCAACATTTATCACAATAAAAAAGGAATTTTCATTGAAAGTTATGCGACGCCCAAGTCCTTGACTTGACAGTGCCTGTGTGTGTAGTAGTGTGTGTGTGTGTGTGTGTGTGTGTGTGTGTGTGTGTGTTAGAGTGGCGCAAAATGGCTTCTGTGTGGCAGTGGGGAGTTTCTTGATTGCGGCACAAATTTCGAGCTCATGCATATCTACCCATAGTGAGGGAAAATTTTATAAATAACACTAGTTTACGTTGTAATATTTTTAGTAACAAAAAAATTACAGCAGAAATATTTAAGTCTCTAAACAATTGCTTATAAGTAGATTGTTTTTATGGGCGAATTTATAATAAATCGAGAATATTGCTTCAAAATTGTACCTTTTTTTATTTTAAATGTAAATATATAAATAAATATATAAATACTGTTTAATGAAGTTATAATTCTTCGTTATTATTATACTATCTTAAATTTGTCCTTCTTTTCTAAATTTTGCCAAATACGATCATTATTAAATTCCTTAATCCGCTTAATAGCTGTTTAGTTGCCAAAAAGGTGAAATTTAGCTCGTAAAGTTCAATGGTTTTTCTCAGTGCAGAGCCGCAAACCAAGGACAATGGCAGTCATCGTTCACACTGGGGACACATCTATACATATGACCATTGCCTGACAGTGTGTTGGCCAATGTCTCTCTGCGGTTTCGATGTGTTTGTGTTGCCAAAGTATTGCGGTTTTTGGCCGTAAATGGAACTAGACGTTTGTACCTTGGGGACTTCGCCACATATGCGTATGTGTGTGTGTGTGTATGTATGTATATATCTATGCGTTTTGTTGCGACAACTGTGACCAAGCGCGCCAATTGGCGTCTCATGGCATCGTCTCGTTGTGGAATGTGCTTGTTTATTTACTTTAATTTTGCTGCCGTTTGCTTTGTGCAACAAAAACCAACACCCGCACAAGTTGTACATCCATACATGTAGACATAGAGACACGTGCACAGCATAGCAGCGCGGCAAAGACGCAAACTTAATTGAATTTTTGAAATATGTACGAAAACATTAGAATGGTCTTTTCTAAAGAGGAATGACAAATATGTGCATGAAGTTCTTCAGCGAAAAACTTTTCTTTTAGTTTAAAATAAACATGTTCTGGCAAGAGAGAATTGAAAATATTTTCACTTTATAAAAGCTGAATTTTTATTCTGGCAATGGCAAATAAAAGTGCTTAAACAAATGTTAAGGAATATTAACTCTAGTCAAATAAATCAGTAAAATATTAATTGAAGCAAGTAAATCCTGTCCAACAAAAAGAACTAATAACAATTTGCATTTGTTTTGAGAACTAGCTGAGCTTGAATTCACGGCCTAGATGTGTTAGATTCTAGCTCTTTAGCAAAGTTTCGATTTTTAAATACCCTGCATCCACCCTATTCTTTACGACAGCTATACAATAATTGTTGTATCAATAATAACTAGTCCAGAAATATCAGCTTGTAGTGAGGCACTACTCATAAGACACAATTTTTCGTATAATAAATTAGTGTAGTGTGGTAAAAAAGACATCTACAAACATATAGAGAGCATTCAATTCAATTAAAACACATCTATATGAATTATACGACATGTTACAAAATATCTGTTTTGAAATATTAAAGAAGATTAGAAAAAAAAACGAATTCGTTCCAATTCTGCTAAGTCGATATTGGCAAGTGTTTTGAATTCCAAAAAAAAAACGATTGCGTTATTTGTTAGCTCAACGAGATAACAGGTACCCTGAATATGACTCGGTTCAAATCGCATGATTCATAAAACTACATACAGTCTTTAAAAATTTTATGAACTGGTCTATAATAAAATTAAATTACAATATATAACTGACGATATATAATATTGGTCAAAATATGTTTATCGATATTCAGAATAATGTACTTGCTTGGCTTGTTTTATTTACATTTAATACACAGATGCTCTTGACAATTGAAAAACGTACAATTAAAATTCCTTTGCACGCAAAAGACTGTTACTGAACGTTTTTCACTCGCACGACGCCTTGTTGTTGTATAATAATTTGTTGCACCACATGAAAAATTGAAAGCACATAAGCCGCAGGCCAAATTGCGCCCAGAACGAATTTCCGTGTAATGCGATTATGGAGATATTTAACAACATGCTATTGGGGCGCGGATATTTTTGTTTAAAAAGCCCGTCCTGTTCCTCTGTTTGAATTTAATTAAAATGGAAAAACGTTATATTTGTATATTTGTGAGCATTTATGTAGGTAAAAGCTTCAATTTGGTTGTGCGGCGCATTGCGGCAAGTATACACACTCGTATTTTATGGCTCAAGAGTCTACACAAACATGCTTGCCATAGCGCTAATAAATTGCCACACACACACACACAGACACACACAAGTGCGTGGCTTCAAGCACCGTTAGGCAAATGGCGACGGGCCCTCGGTTAGCCTCTAGCAAAAGCATTTATACATATCCATACAAGTCATTTGGTCAGGAGTGGCCATAAAATAAAAAAATATTCTTGGCATACTCTCCACTAGGTCATATTTTTCCCACCCCCCTCTGGCCAGTCTCTGCCATCCAGTCCCTGCGTTTTAAACTTTTGACACTTTGACCGCAGATCGTTTTAAGCAATTGCAGTACTCATAATTGTGCTGCGTAGCGTTTGTCGTAATGCATGATTTATGCAGCAATTTGCTCGGGCATGTACGCTGTTTTAATAACAAATATGATAATACCAATTTATGATATTTATGTTTATTAGCTGCTGCTGTAAGACGTACTAAATACCAATTAACTAACCGTTCATATTTCGAATTTGTGTGTGTCTGTCTGTTTGAAACAGAATTTTCCATCGCTACGAAAACGTTCGATTTTAGTTTATTTAGATAACATAGTTTTTGGGCTTAAATAGCTAAATGGTGTTGTAATTAAACGTAGACAAATGAATTGGATTATTATATTTAAATATGGAATGTACACAGAATGCATGCTATCTGCTGAGATAATTCACGCAACTTATAATTATAATAGGTTGGTATAATAATTCAAGGTTTTTTTAAATGCGAAGGCTCGCAAATGCCTAGCTCGGTAAGTTTGTAATTTGTGTAACGATATTGCAATGCTTTCAGCACTTGTATTGAACTGACATGCCTCCAGAGGAGAACAACAAATATGAACATTGGCCACATAATAGTTGCAAAAGACAGAAAATATTGTTGTTTTCTCAGTAAATGCACAAAAGAAAGCCTTTGACTATTATTTACTTGCCCGCCCAAGTACCAAGTGTAGTTTCAAAAGTGATTACTGATATTTTATAAGATTCTCTTTTTATGTTGAGTTAAAATAACTCACAGTTAGTTAACATATACTTCACTTAAGAATACATTTTTATTATTACTGTCCGGTACATTAGATAATACATTTTTCCCAATTTATTTTGCATTCTCCCAGGGCAGCAGAACATTTGCCAGTTTAATTGCCATGTTACGTGCTGAGCTCTAAAGTAAAGTAAAGTAAAGTAAGTGAGTGGGCAAGTGGAAGAGCAGCCACAACGGCCTCCTCTAATGGCCTGGCACGCTTTTGTAGGCACATTTGTTGCATACTTTTCAGCGCGCGGTGCCTCTTCTTCCCGCAGAAGGCAATTTCTTAGTCGCCCATTGCAGCACGTTTCGCATCCGTTTCGTGCACAATTGCGCCTCACCACCTCACCAACTCGCCATCTTACCAGCTCCCCACCTCACTAACCCAATTTACTGCTGTTGCTCTTGTTGCTGATGCCTCGACTACTTGGGCAAACTTACAAGTTCCAAAGTGCACTTTCATAGCTGTTTTGTTAGCCCCTGCCGGTTACGCTTACTTAGTCCGCTGGTCATGGTTGCCTGCCTGCCTCTGTGCCTGCCAGCTGGCCTAGTAGGACAAGCAGACAGACACACTGTGGCCTCATTAAGACGTTTTGCAGGCTAAACGTTTTGCCAATTTTTAAACAGCAGTTTCAGTTGTCAGTTTTTACTTTTAAATTTTAAGTTGCACCCGGACATTACGTATGCGCCACGTTGCCGAAATGCAATCGATTTAAAATGGAAATTTGTTTGCAACTCGTAAAATATGCGATGGCATGTTAAACGAAATGTATGCAATAAATTGCTTTGTTAATAAAATATGAAGTGTATTGCGGCGATGATGTTGCTGCCACTCCTCTGAGAGCAACATTGCTGACGGCTTAAGCTGCAGCTGTAAGTGGGGCGTGCATGAATTTAAATGACGTCATTTGCCAGGAGTAGGGTTCAGCTGACACAACGGTGGTCATTGCCAGTATTTAAGAATATTATAGTCCTTGGGTATTAAGCAGGCTTACAGTTCTCTAAAAATCATATGTAGCAGCATATTTGGCTTATCTTTTCCACAATGGCTTTTGTACAACAATTTTATATGCAACGGATAAATAATGCTTAAAATTTAAGCCATGTGGCTAGGGGCTTGGTTTTGGTTGCGAAAAGTAAGTAAACTGATAAGCCTTTAATGTATATTAAAAATGGCACTCATCTTTTTGGCCTTAATATTGGGTTGAAAATATCAGCATAATATGTAGAAGAAGGTATAGCATGAAACCCAGATAGACGCGTATATACTAGCTAAGGATATAAAAGTGACTCGGCTACTTTTGTTCTAAGCAAAATTTTGACTGGAGTCTCTACAGATTCATTCAGCACTATAACTAAAAAACTAAAAAATAATAATAATTTAAGTCTAAACCTGTAATGATAACTGTCGGACATTTTAATAGCTGGGAGGAACGTAAGA